CATTATTAGCGTGCTGTATGTTAAAAATTTGATTAAACATGTTAAGTCTAATTATGTGAGGTTAAAAAAATTAAAATAGGAAATTTTAAGTAGAGATTGAATCTGAAGTTTCTTGCATGTGTTTTGCATGAATCTGAAGTGTACAAACCTGTAATCAGTATTTTAAAAATAACCTTTGCTCTACTCTTATGTATGCCTTAAGGTTGCCAAATGCGGCGATATGTGTTGTGTGCTGGCTTTTGGCACGATTGCATGTTCTGTTCTCCAATGGTTTTGTGACCGATGTTGGTTTCTATGACAACCCTTCTTATGTGGAAACTTGGATTTGCTAGTTGATTCGTGTGGATAATTAAGCGATTTATGACGTGTTGGCAAAATTTTAGTCGCGTGCCAGGTACAACTATTTTTTCAGGTGGTTGGAAATTCTGTTGGCAGTGGAGATAAAGGCAAAGCATATTTTGCTTCCCTTAAATAAAGCTAAGACAAATCTAAATAAAATTCATGCTTTATTCCGTAAATAAAAATAAAAGAAGCTAACACTGTAGCCTTTACATTTAAAAAACATTTGAGAAAAAGAAAACTAGCATAATGCTAACTCATTATACCAAGACATTCGCCGATACCCGTGTACATATATATAATACTCGGCCAACCAACGGTGTGCGTAGTTCGTAGATTCCTTCGCTGCCTAGATTGTGCAATTCGTAAATGTTTTCTAAAGTTTAAACAGAAAGCTGTGTACATGGTATTCTTTGAAATTAATTTTTTTATGTTAATTTATTTAAGCTAGGTGTGCGTAGTTCGTAGATTCTTTCGCTGCATAGATTGTACAAATCTGTGATTTTTTTATTTATTTATTTATTTATTTTTTTGAGTTAAAACAAATCATTGTATGCACGGATTCGTGTCAAATATTTTTTAGAAACTTTACGTTTTTGCTATCTAATTTTTTTGTTTTTGTTTCGAATTTTTAGCTTAAATTGTGTATTCAAAACGTGTTTTTTGCATGTGCGAAAATCGCGTTTTGCAGACATTTTAGGCTAAAAGTTCGAAATGTAGACAAAATTTTAGGTAGTAATGTGGCAGTGCAGAGTTTCTCATAAAAAATGTTTGGCGAGAAATTTGGCGACCTGAGAGTGCATATAAGAGTAGTTCCATAACCTGACTAAAATATTGAGAACATGTAATTAAAAAGTGACCTTCATTGGTAATAGAATTGTTTGGACTTTTTTTGGCTGATCTTTGTAATCATTTTTAATGTTTTGTTATAAATTCGTTGGTGACGTTTATATAGATAATTTAGAGGTAAAAGTTTTTGGATATTTTATTTATTTTATACGTGCAAATGTCCATCCTTGGAAAGGGTATATACGTTTTCGCGATCAGGTAATTTCATATACGGTCAAAAGTCGTTAATTCAGACACCCATAATACAGAATGATCTATAATCCCGACCTCAAAGCTACAAACTTTCTGCGCATGCGTTGTGTTGACACATGCGCGTAAGACCTTTACCGCTGTGAATTTGCGTGTGTGCAAAATACATTTACGAATGCACGTTTAATGTATAACGGGCGGGATAAGCTAAGCTAAAATTATCTAATTATCTGTTTCAGTTAATGTTGCAGATTGCGTTGTTCCTTAATCTTCGAATTGGATCCGGATTATTATTTTTTGCAGACTGTTAGAGCAATTTTATAAAAGTAAGCTTGAACTTTCGATTATGTCAAATAGAATTTCCGATATATATTTACTAATATGTAAAGGATATACAAAGCGAAAGTATCTTTCGGAGTCCATTAAACAAAAAGTGGAATTGCTTTAAAAAATGGATAAAGGCATATCCTTTGTTTATCTAAACTTTAACGTTTGTTTATCTAAACTTTGTTTATCTTTAACGCTGCGGCGCCATGCAATGAATTGGAAGTTGATCTATCAGCACTATCCTTATCTTAACCCCTTAACTACCGCGGGCGTATATATACGCCTTGCTCAGCCGATGCGTTAACTGCCCCCCAGATGCGCAGCCGATGCGTTAACTTTGCGAATAATTTTAGGTGTAGCAGCGCAAAGCAAATGATAGCAGTTTGGAAGGACGTATATATACGCCTGGGGCAGTTAACGCATCGGCTGAGCAAGGCGTATATATACGCCCGTGCCAGTTAACGGGTTAAGGGCAGATGTTTTTATTTTATTTGGCTTATAATTGCTTACTCAATGTAGTATTTCATCTCGATGTACTCCGTCTTTGATATGATTTAAATCAAATGCCTCGTCATTATAATTCGCTTCCGATAGCGAAGAAAGTGACAGAGGTTATTGAAAACGAAAAAATTTCGATTGACAAGTTAGTTAGTCGTATTCTCGACACAGCAATTATAGGACTTGAACAGCGGAACTTTGTAACTGAACAAGAAATTATTGTCTGTTTATAGAATTAAAAGTGAATGTATTATTACATAAAAAACGAAGCAAGCAACTTAAACAACTTACATTGAAAAAAGAAATGTTTAATAAAGTAAACAAATAAATATTAAGCTTTTTTTTTGTAAATTTTGATACCCCTTAGATCATAATTGTTCTTTATTTCGTAATTACGGTTTTCATATTTTTAATTTTATAATTTCTGCATGCCATTTTACCAGATTTAAACTGATGATCTATAATCCGGAATCGCCGAAGTCCCGACGAGTCCGGATTAACGACTTTTGACTGTATGTCCTTTTACCGAATTTAAAGATTCACAAAATTTTCATGCATTTTCGTGAAATTTTTCTAATTTATGAGAAAAAAGCAGTGTACATGGATATAGCAAAGAGTGTGCACAATGCCATTTTTGTGCAATTCTGGGATTTTTTTTAAGTAAAAATAAGTCGACGTGTACATGGTTTAGTGATATTTTGATTAAATGATAGTTGTTTTGTGAATTTTATGTTTGTAGGAATTTGGTATACGTTTCAGTTGAAGTAAACGTGCATGGAAAGAAATAATTTAAATATTTGACACTAAGTATTTGTAAACATTTGTAATGTTTGCGGTATGAATTCGTTGGTGACGTTTATAATATAATAGATAATTTAGAGGTAAAAGTTTTTGGATATTTTATTTATTTAATACGTGGAAATGTTCATCCTTGGAAAGGGTATATACTTTTTCGCGATCAGGTAATTTCATATATGTGTTTTTTTACCAAGTTTAAAGATTCACAGAATTTTTTTGCATTTTCGTGCAAATTTTTTTAATTTATGAGAAAATAGCGGTGTAGATGGTTAAAGTTTAAGAGTGTGTGCAAATGCCATTTTTGTGCAATTCTGGGATGTTTTTTTTAAGTAAAAATAAGTCGACGTGTAAATGGTTTATGTGTATGTGCTATTCTGAAAAACGCGCAAGGAGTTTGCGATTGTGCACTTTTTCCGAATTTTGCAGTTAATAGTTGTCATGATTAAGCAGTTTTGTTACATATAAAATTTCTAGCATAAGTGTAATTCGGCTAGTGGATTGTTGGAAAAAAGTGTTCAGTAAATAAAAAGGAAAGAAAACATGTCTTTTACTTCGTGAAGACAAAATGGCGGCGAAAAAAAAGAATAGAGGGTTGCTGTATCAGAGTTGGTCGGCAAATTTTTGCCAAAAAATCGCCAAGTTACCATAATCCAAAGATCAACCCTTTTTTCTTTTAAATTACTAAGATAGTAATTTATCAACTTGTTAGCATTACAAAGATGTAACATGCAGTCAGCAGTGTCAGAACGTTGGCAGTTTAGTTACCAAACAACATTAAGTTTAATCCAAGAGATATACAGTCAAAAGTCGTTAATCTGGACTCGTCGGGACTTCAGCGATTCCGGATTATCGATTTTTACGGATTATAGATCATCAGTTTAAATCTGGTAAGATGGCATGCAGAAATTATAAAATTAAAAATATGAAACCGTAATTTATGAAATAAAGAACAATTATGATCTAAAGGGTATAAAAATTTACAAAAAAAAAAAAAAAAAGCTTAATATTTATTTGTTTATTTTATTAAACATTTCTTTCAACATGCACATGCGTAAAGCATACATGACACATAGTCAAAATTAGAAAATTGCAACGAGAAAACTATTTGATGTGTATTCATGATATTTATAATGACGAGGAATTTGATTTAAATCATATCAAAGACGGAGCACATCGAGATGAAATACTACATTTAATGGGAATTATAAGCCAAAATAAAATAAAAAACATCTGCCCTGAAGATAAGGATAGTGCTGACAGATCAACTTCCAATTCATTGCGCGCCGCGGCGTTTTCCCCTCTCCCTCCCCCCGCAGAGCAGCGTGAAATTGATAAACAGATTTCGGAATGGTTAGAAAAACAAAGGATATGCCTTTATCCATTTTTTGCAGCAATTCCACTTTTTGTTTAATGGACTTCGAAACATACTTTCGCTTTGTAGATTCTTTACATATTAGTAAATATATATCGGAAATTCTATTTGACATAATCGAAAGTTCAAGCTTACTTTTATAAAATTGCTCTAACAGTCTGCAAAAAATAATAAGCCGGATCCAATTCAAAGATTAAGGAACAACGCAATCTGCACCATTAACTGAATTAGATAATTTTAGCTTAGCTTATACCGTCCGTAATACATTAAACGCGCATGCGTAAACGTATTATGCACATGCACACACGCATATTTGCAGCCATAAAGGTCTTACGCGCATGCGTCAACGCGACACATGCGCAGAAAGTTTGTAGCTTTGAGGTCCGGATTATGGGTGTCTGAATTAACGACTTTTGACTGTATATGACTTTTAATAAGATGTTATTAATAAGAATCTAGGAGTTCAAAGGTAACAAACCATCTGTGGAGTTTTATCATTTTTAAAAGTAATTGCACATAGTGATCCAATAGAAAAAATGTATGTAATTATGACCATGCCTTTATAATTACTTATTTAACTTCTCTGTATTATATTTTATATATTTATCTAATTTTAAATCTTTTTTAGTTTTTTCTTAGAAAAGAATATGCTTTCTTTTTTTCTGAAGATTATGAAGCAGAAGTGTGGACGATATGTGTGTGTGCAGTTACTCCAGACCTTAAATATTTTATTTGAAAACATTCGAAATGAAACATCTCTGTGTATGTAGATGTTTGTTCTTTCATGCTATTTAGTATTTGTTTTCATGGCACTTCATTCTTTTGGTAGCCAGATAGTAAAAGTAGTAAGTACCTTGTAATTAAGTTACAGATTATTGGTGCATTTATTTGAATCAAACATAAAAGCCATCTTTACCATCAAACATAAAAGCCATCTTTACCATCAAACATAAAAAAACCATCTTTACTTTACATCTGTTTTCAATGTAGAATTTTTCCGTAATAGAAGCTAGTGGATATTAGAAGTTTTAAATTAGTTTTATAGTATACCGTTATTCATGTTTATCTTTCACTGTTCTAAAAATCTTAACTGTATAAATTTTCAGGTGATAATTATTAGAATAGGTATTAGTAGATAAAATTCTTTCTTTGTTTGATGCTAGTAGCATTTTAAAAGCATAGTGAGAGGGAAAAGGTATACTTTCTAGTTAATGGTATGCCAGTCAGAAGTGCAAAGCACATAATGTTGTAAACTGTTTATCTCATGAGTAGCTATCAATTTATGTCATTACAAATAAGTTGAAAGAATAAACATTGATCCAGGTTTCCTCTCAGAGATTTTGTTTTCTTTGGGAGGGGAAGGGAGTCATAGAAATGCTGTCTTAATATAAATCATATAGTTTTTCATCCTCAGAAGCATATAATTTTCAAAGTACTGACTCTTGAAAACTACTTTCCTAATAGAGGTTTATGCATTGATATTTAGCCATGCACAGACTAATTATATGTAGTAAACTGTTTAACATGAAACTTGATCACTTATAACTTTTAATATCTCTCATATATTTCTTAATTCCATTTGATTATACTGTCCTAGAAGCCAATAAATATTTACCTTAGTTTTCACTTGTATAACAGAATTTTTACCAATTTTATGTTCAAAATTTAGCTGAAAGCATTTGCACAGTTTGCATATACAGTGACAAACTATGTATGTAATGTATTTGGTGTCTTAGTTACTGTTGCAAATTGTGTTGTTGGCATTTTTTTCTGTACAGTTTGAAACAGTTTTTCATTAAATATGAAAAGCAAATTTAGTTTTTTATTCTAAATTAAAATATAAACAAATTAGTCTTTTAAAAAATGTTAATATATAGCTACCTCCTTCAGACAGTTATTATGACATAATGTAATATTTTTTTAGTAGGTAGTAAAACTGATACAGTTTAGACTGCTATAGTATCATTATCCTTTTTCTACATTTTAATAACTTTTGTTTAATAGATATGTTTTCTAGATATTTATGAGATATTTAATTTCAGATTATCTTCTCTCAAATAATCATGTGAATTCTATCATTGTTCATAAATTTGACTTTTCTGATGAAGAAGTAAGTGAAATTTATTTACATAAGTATTTAGTATTTTACATTTCATATTTTTAAATTTGATCTTGTAAACAGTTAAAAATATAATTAAATGAAAATATTTCATATTTATTCTAAAATCCTGTGTATGATTAAGGAAGTGAATCTGTATTTATAATGCATTAATTTTCATTTCAGGTTATGGCCTATTATATATCATTCCTAAAGACTTTGTCATTTAAACTAAATACTCATACTATACATTTTTTCTATAATGAGGTAAGTAAAAATGTAATTAATAAATGTAAATTCTAATGTTTTATATCAACTTTGTGCACTTCTGGAAAAGGTATGTGCTTAAAGCTAGAAATTCAGAAACTGTTATCTTCTTTGTAATTTCAACAAAATGCCATTTCTTATGAAGTCAAGACTCATGTGTTTAATAGTAAAGAATTTTAATTATTTTCATAATAGTTAATGTAAAATTTTCAATGGCAGACGAAATTGAAAGTCTCACTATAAATTAGATAAAATTGTAATAATCAATTCAATAATTAATGAATACATTTTCCAAAAATATTTATTACTTATAATTGTAATTACCATCCCATTTTAAGCCTAAGCCAAGAGTTTTTAGCAAATTTTATATTATTCATGGTTGGGAGAGGTTTATACACTCTTTGGCAAAAAAATCGAAACACCAAGGACTTTTGCGATTGGGACGAAATTTGGTATGCAAAAACATCGTGATAGAACATGCAAATGATCAAAGTTTCAAGGAAAGGAACAGGATGTGCGATCATAGTGCGCAATTCGCAAAGTATAACACTAGTAACAGAGGTGGAAAATTCATCTTTTTTTTTTTTTTTTTTTTTTGTTGCTGCCATTGCTATTCCATAAAGAAGCAACTAAACATGCCATTATGACGATATCAAAGACCTTACAGACAACTAAATGACTTCGAATGTGGTCACATTGTAGGGTTACTTGAAGCTGAGTGGTCATACCGAATAGTAACAGGCCGCCACCTGCAGCATACAGACACTGCTGTGCAAAGATGTTGGCAGCAGTGGTTTCTACAAGAAAACTGATATCGAAATGAAGGCTATGGAAGACCAAGGATCACAAATGTGAGGCAAGATAGGATTATTGTTCGCCAGGCCTTAACCACCCCAACGGTATCATTGTGAACTATTCAACGCACTACAGCCACGTATATACCTCTCGTGGTACCTTCCACCATCTCATGGCGCTTGTCTAAGGCAGGGTTATGCTCACAGAGGCCTTTAAAACATTTGCCTTTGATCCCACAACATTGGCGGAGTCGCCTAGAGTGATGTCGCAGCCGATCATCATGGCTGCCATCAGACTGGCATCGTATAGTGTTCAGCGATGAATCCCGCTTCACTCTTGAAGCAGATGACCACCGTGTTCGTGTATGGAGAGGACGGGGTCCAGCCGTCCATACCAGCCAAAACCCCTGGTGTGGGCCACTATTTCTTATGACAGCAGGTCATCTTTAGTCATCCTCCCCTTCGTACATCTTTAAACAGCCCAACGATATGTTGATACTATCCTGAGGCCGATTGCATTACCCTTCATGGCACGTAATCCTGGGGCCCTTTTCCAACAAGATAATGCCAGGCCACATACTGCTCGCATATCTCTGGACTGTCTCCGTGCGGTTGATACTCTTCCTTGGCCAGCAAGGTCACCAGACCTTTCACCAATTGAGCATGCCTGGGATATATATCCCAGGCATGCTCAAATCCCAGACATGCTCAATTGGTGAAAGCGATAGTTTGTGGTGCCAGATTCAAGCACCACAAAATATCGCGGATCTGGAGCGACAACTGATAAATGCCTGGCAGAATGACATTAGGAACCTCTACCACTCCTTACCTCGACGAATTCAAGAAAAAATCATTTATTTTTATTTTGTTTAAATCTAAATCAAATTTCTTAATATTGTACCCAACTCAGAATTCTCCAAACTTTCTGAAGTCTGTGTTTGAGACAAATTCTGGTTAAATGCCATCATTCATTGCAATGTTAGTATCATTTTTATTTACTGTATAGATATCATCATCTTCGGTTCTGTTCTTAGAACTGTTCAGCAAAAGTGACAAATTTTAGCTGAAAACTGGTAAAATAGGCAGCCCTTTTTTTCTCTATCTTCTATTATATAGCAATAATAAAATGTGCATTTTCCACATAAAAATAAAAGCATGAATACAGCTGAGGAGGAAAATTGTGTCTACTTAAATATTATCACAACTGAGGACTAAAATAAAATTCCCATGCTATTGCTGAAGTGCAATAACGCTCGAAGAACGGAAAAAGATAAACTGTTGATTCTTTGTAGAATGCTGTTACTCCTCTTTTTTTAAATGTAAAAAGCTGATGGGGAAGTGGCACATGCATAAGTTATCTGTTAAGCCTAATTGAGTAAACTGAGTTAAATACAGTTTTTCACATTTTTGCTAACATAAATATTTATCTATTGAGAGAGCTTGATTCACAGAATGATTTTAAATTTGGGATACTTATTAATTTTTCAAATTTGGCTGAATTTTTGCAGTAAAGTATCACCTCAGCTTGTACATAGTTTGGTTTATATTTGAAAATATATGATAGTTTCTTTACATATACATTAAACTCCTGATTAACTGGGCCCCATCTTACAAAACATTAAGTTTATTTATTATGAAATTAAAGAAAAACTACTATCACCAACTACCAGTGTAAAACAAAACTATTTATGAAAAATACAAAAAGGGATAAAAGAAAGTGTGGAATAATGGCAGTGATAATAGATGATGTTGTAATGTTTGAGAGTTAACTATTTGTAATCTGGAATGCAATAAACATTGTTAAATCATCACTACTTGATCATTAAAATAAAGCTATTAATTTGTATTCAGAGCTATTCATTTTATATTTCACATTGACTTTTACTGAGATGTAACTGTATTGATTAAAAGGCCTGCTTCCTCAATAAAAGGTGTGCCATAAATGCATTTTTTTCTCCAGATGTATTGATATTCCTGCATGTCACAGTCAAACACCTGTTGGCTATGGAATTGACACTGTGGCTCGTGGCAATACATTGATTGTTGTATTGATACTGTATAGAGTTAGACTTTCGGTCTTTGAATGATTATCATTTTTCTATCTGACCTGAAGAATACGGGAAGACCCAATGTGGTCATGTCAACATGTCATCTAACGAGATTTTGATCTGATGGTCTAATGTCTGCAATCACCAAAGTGCCAATGTTTCCATATCTTGAACTTTTTACTGAAATAGATTAGAGAGTGCAGATGCATGAGGCATACCAAATTTTACTTCTTCTGGTGTTTGTAAATAAATGTATGGAATAGCAAAGCTAAAAAATATAAGAAAATGGTCATATGAAATATTATCTTTCTGAATTTAAAAGCCAGTAATTTTTGTTCTTTAAGAGAACGTTTGGTATATAAAAGTCTGACAGAAGAAGTACATATGTATTGGGTCTCAAAACTTCACATATGAACTTTGAGAGTATGTAAAGAAACTGATATGAACCATATTCACATGAGAAAACAGGATGGATAAGTAATGCTATGCCAGCGTTCTAGGTCAGCATCTGAGACTTACTCATTAAAACTTACAATGCCGTATGGAAAACAAACATCCTTTAACAAATGCTGAGTAGGTAAGCATGCAATTCATGGATTCACTAACTGATAATAATGGACAGGCTCTTACTAATATTCATGAAACTTTAGATATCTCCTCAGGTCAAAATTAGTCACCAAAATCATCACCAGTTTGATGCTATCTCACAAATTTGGTGAGATAGGCATTTCCTTCTATATTTATATAGACTTGCCCTTGAAGCCTTGTTTTTACAGCAGAGCTTCATCTCTTGAGGAATTGTCATGTTATGTTATAGAAAAAGTACTACATTTTTATATATAATTTGACTGAAATTATTTTCATTTATACAGAATTCATTATAATAATATTGAGACACATCTGTCAAAATTAATTTAAATGCTCAAAGGAAACAGTTTCCTAGTTTTTCATTTATTGTTGTTATGCTTTTACTCCTCCACCTTTTTCTGTGAGAGATACCTTCAAAATATGTTATGCTTTAAAAAATAATGAAAGAGTGCGGGGCTGAAAACCCTAACTTCGTACTAAACATTTTAATCTTACAAGTAATATTGATGTCTATTTCATTGCATTGCAACTTTTTGAAATAAGCAGGTCACATTTATTGGTTGAAAATTAATTAAGTTCTTTAAAGAGATGGCCATAACTTTGTGTTTCTTAATTCTCCTGTTAAATATGATTAATTTCATGTAATATAGAGTACAAAGTCTTTAATCCAGACGTCCATAATCTGGACCTCAAAGCTACAAACTTTCTGCACATGCGTAGCGTTTACACATGGGCATATGTGCGTATGCATGCACATATGCGTTTAGGCATGCGCATAATACCTTTGCGCATGCACATATTACATTTACGCATGCACGTTTAATGTATAACGGACGGTATAAGCTAGGCTAAAATTATCTAATTATCTATTTCAGTTAATGTTGCAGGCTACATTGTTTCTTAATCTTCTAATTCGATCCAGCTTATTATTTTTTGCAGACTGTTAGAGCAATTTTGTAAAAAGTAAGCTTGAATTTTTGATTATGTCAAAAAGAGTTTCTGATTCTGAGCTGACAAAGGATCTACAAAGAGAAAGCATGTTTCGATGTCCATCAAATAAAAAGTGGAATTGCTGCAAAAAAATGGATAAAGGCATGAAGAAAGTGACAGAGAGGTTAGTGAAAACGAAAAAATTTCAATTGACAAGTTAGTCGGTATTCTCGGCACAGCAATTACAGGGCTTGAACAGCGGAACTTTGTACCTGAACAAGAAATTATGTCTGTTTATAGAATTAAAGAGAAAGTATTAGCACATAAAACAAAGCAACTTAAACAACTTACATTGAAAGAAATGTTTAATAAAGTAAACAAATAAATATTAAGCTTTTTTTTTTTTTGTAAATTTTGATACCCTTTAGATCATAATTGCTCTTTTTTTCATAAATTACGGTTTCATATTTTTAATTTTATAATTTCTGCATGCCATCTTACCAGATTTAAGTTGATCTATAATCTGGAAAACCCCCTAATCCAGAATCGCCAAAGTCCCGACGAGTCCAGATTAAAGACTTTGTACTGTATTAGTATATGCAAACTACTAATGTAAACTTGCCTTACTAGATTTCTATTAAAATGCTCATAAACTATTTTGCAGAGGAAATTCTTTACTCTGAAAATATTAGATTCTAAATGTTACTTTATAAAGTTATCCTATTGAATTAAAGCACGAACTAACTACTCAGTAACTGTACAAGTCTCTCGGATGACTGACTTTCCTCCCATTTGACTCATAGTAACACATTCAAAGTAAATTAAAAATATTTATAAACAGGCCATCTTGACAAATTTAAATTATTAACAGGAACAGATCTCCAGTAACTTTCATTTTTAAATGAAGCAAATAAAGTTCACAACATTAGCAAAGCCTAAAGTAAACCTTGGCTATTGTACTAATCACTTGCAGAGAATCATGCAAGCAAATCATGATCAGCAAGCTAATGCAAACAGCAGAAATTCAGAGTAGAGTAGAGTAACAGTTAGTCTAAGGTGTCAAATGGTATCTGGTAAACTTTCAACTTACTCTTACTGTATTTTTGCTTTCTGGTGAAAACAGAGATATTGAAAAGCCAAAATTCTAGCTCGCTAATTAAAGTAAAACCTTACGATTTCATTTCATGTGCTCTAATAAAATGTAGTCCAGCAATAACTCGTGTATGAAATGGGATTTTGTAGAAAGGAAACTTCATGAACTTTTTAATCTATAGAGGTTGAGTATAATTTGTATTCTAATGAAAACTGAGTCCAATTTGTGTAGTATATTCTGGCTGATATAGTCATACCAATCGAGGAACATTGTGTGCCAGACTATTTCTGACTTGGAACTTAGCCACTTTGAATTTGTTAAATAGTTCTGCTTTTGAGACATTACTTCAGTCTGCTGCAAGGCAACATTTATTATAGTCACTATTGGATTTTCTGTGCAAGAGATGAACAACTCTGCACTCAATTTATGTTTTGTGCCAGCAGCTAGGACTTGCACATTGATCACAGATCATAAATTGAGAATACCTCTTAAACATGATATATGTCACAATATGCTAAATTTTTTATGCATACCAGTTTTCAAGCTCTTTTATTTTTAAATAAGTCTTTTATACAGTTTTACTTTATTTTACATTTCAAAAAAGTAATGCTGATTGCCTATTTGAGAGTAAAATATAATTTAAGAATGTTCTTCTCCTCTTCAAAATTCTTTTATGTGTATAAAGTGTATTTTCTGCCCATTGTAAAACTTCTTATGCTTAAGAGTGACATTTATATGTGTTTCATTGTTTTTGCCTTTACTTTTGGATTTGGATTATCGTGCATCCAGTCTTTTCCATCATAAATACCTTCAGTTATTTCAGAATCAAAAATTTCACATTGTAAATTACAATTTATGTGATGCTGCAAAATGAATCACAATTTATATAATTAGACTTAGTTAAAAGCCTTGTATTTCTCATTTCTTTCTTTCCAGCTCATTTGTCTTGAAATCTTCAAGGGGAAAGGAGATATAAAACTTTTCTCAAAAACAGTTTAAAAAAACAGTGGATTTGGAGTAAAATATAACATAGATAGCCAATAATTTTTATAAAGCTTTATCATTAAATCAAGTAAAGTCATTATTCAGTTGGGGATAATATGTCATTGATTTTGTTTAAGTTTCATACTGCGCTAGAAGAAAAGTGTTAAATTGAGGATATCGATAATTAGGTATGTAAGTATCACTAAATCAAGTTTTGATTGTATTTTATATATATGTATTGTTATGAATTTTGTATTTAGATAGCTAACTTTAGTAGAATTATAATTAAAATTGTTGTGTTTCTGCGTGCAATGCAGCACAAGACAAATTTTAGGAGAAAGCTATGCCAGGAAAGTAAGAATACTGGGGCATGTGCATTTAACATTGAGTAAATTGATATCTTGGTAATTTGTATAGAAATTGAATAAATGTTATTGACCACTATGTTAGCTGTAACTGTAATTCCATCCTCTTATTGCTTTCCAGTAATTTTGAAAAACGGAAAGTACAGTAGAAAGTCCGAAATCTGGACTTATCAGGACTTCGGCAATTCCGGATTTGGGATTTTTCCGGATAATAGATCATCAGTTTAAATCTAGTAAGATGGCAAGTAGATATTATAAAACTAAAAATGTGAAATCGGGATTTATGAAATAATGAAGTATTTATGATCTAAAGAGTATCAAAATTTACAGAAAAAGCTTAATATTTATTTGTTTACCTTATTAAACATTTCTTTCAATGCAAGTTGCGTCGTTTTTTTGTGCTAATACTTTCTCTTTAATTCTGTAGACAGACATAATCTCTTGTTTAGTTACATTGTTGAAGTCTTGTAACTGGTATTTCCAGAATTTGGACTAATTTGTCAATCGAAATTTTCTTGTTTTCAGTAACTTCTTTGTCACTTTCTTAACTATCAGTAGCGGTTTTTTCTGGATCTAGAATCATACTACAGATTTCGCCAATCATTAATTAATTGATGATTGAGAAGCATTGTCATCACAATGAAAAGCTTCTTTTATATAATCTTCATTTATTACCACTTCTCCTCATTTCTTTACAAAATCCATTAATTGGAAAATTTCACCTTTGTTTTGCAATATTCGAAAACCTTTAAATTAGCGGCTATCATCATCAAATTTAGCTATCCATCACTATACATATTTGGCTTTGCATAATGAGTTTGGCGACTAACCACAAGTTGTTCCATTAAATTTTATCTTGCTTCTATCGCGCACTGAGACAATTAAGCCTGAATTGTATTAGTTTAGTTATTTATTATATTTGTGTCCATTTCTTGCACATGCTCAAGGCTTATCAGAGTTCTGAATAAATAAATTCCCCCATATACTTAAACCTTATTGAGAGCCGGTGCTAGATATCTTACCGCCTGATGCAGTCTCTGTGGGTCCTAAATTCTCTGACTCAATGCGGCTACACGAACCCTGGCGTTGATTCTGGGTTTATGTAAATAACAAATCAGTTATTCTTAATTCAAATACCCAAATGTAATCTTGGGTGTATAAGTATCATCAACAAAATCTATTTTTAGCATATGGAAAGAAAGTTTTGTTAAATTTTTCCTTGTCAACATTTTTTAGCGCATTTAACTTAAATTTGTAATCATTGCCAGGCGTAATGTCAACATGAAAGGTTACCATACTCCTTTATTATTCAATTACTAACATAAAAATTTTTTTAGGAATCGCTACATGAGTCATTACTCAATTTGTCATGTTTTGATAAACATGCAGGGATGAAAGGAAAGTATCATAAATAATGATTCGCCGGGTTGGCGTCAGATCAACAATGTATCTATGTGGAATGTTTGGGTTTGTGATGTATGCTAAGCACATACGCAGCAACGGAGCCAAATTACTGATCATACAAATTTAAGCTAAAATAATTGTTTCTTCAATAACAAGGTATTTTATTTAGTTTTGAAGGAAATTAAGAATCGAAATTCTCCAGATGTTTTATTATGCGCTGAGGGGGCAATCAAATGCGCATGCGTAAAGCCTACGTGAAAACGTTGGTGGTTTTGAAGTCCGGATTTTAGATCATTCTGGATTTCGGACTTTGTACTGTACTAGAAATTTCTCACGACCGGTTGAAAGCTATAAAAGGCAGAAGACAGAGAATCTCAGCAAGGTGTTATTTCTGTGTGAATTGAGAAATACGGGTTAGCTTTCTCTTTAGATATGTTTTGCATTGTGTTGCATTCTAGCAATTTTAGTAGTCTAAAATATAACTACTGATTATATTGCATGATATTGTGAATACTTGTACGAATACGTCTGAGGAAAATTCCAGCCTTCTGATATATTTCTATTGATAGCCTATTAACCGATTATCGGACTTGGCATTTACTAACCTATTATCGGCATTTACTAACCTATTATCGAACTTGTGCATTTACTAACCTATTATCGGACTTGTGCATTCAATCTATTAGGAACTTGTACGCACACAATAATATGTATATCCAAATAGCAAATGTTTCTATCACAGCTATTATTTAGTAACCTTCTGAAGTACATTAATTTTTTTCATATTGTAAAGGTAATATTTTATATAGTCTTAAAAAGTTAGAAGATATTTTTATAACTAAGATGTGCAAGATATATTTTTAACCAAGCATTTCCTAAATTCTTTGCTGTATCTTGTATTGAAAGCTATACCATTATTTTTCTCTCCTTCTCATTAGCACACAAATGATTTCCCACTTTATAATGAGGCTATAAAGTTTTTCAAGCACAGTGAAAGTATGGTCAGAATAGCTGTAAGAACTTTGACGTTAAATGTTTTTAAAGGTATTGTATTGCTTTAAAAGTTTTTAAATGTGTATTCTTTTTAATTCTGATAGTAATACACTATTCACAATTTATTTTATTTATTTATTTATTTCTGTTTTAATTTCTTTTATATTACGTATGTGCTTTACAGTGTCTACTGTCTGAAAGAAAGCGCTGTAGGATTTTTCATACTGTTCTTCATACATTGCAATAAATGATCTTGAATATTCTGTCATATGTTCCTAACATTTCCATGAAAAATTAATCTTGTTTTATGTAGTTCTTGTAAGAATGAAAAGTGTGCAGAAAATCGCTCAATTCATGGGACAACGATTATCTTTCAAACCTACAAATAGTTTTTGCCATTATGAGCGATTTAACTCTTATTTAACAGCTTGGCTTGTAATATTATTCTCAATATTATAGCCAATACTGTCCAAATTTACAAGGATCTTTTATTACATGGGCTTAGACACTTCTTGTGCATTCATCACTCTCATGGGCATTATATACATCATTGAAAGGATCAAATTGTAAATGCATTGTAGATAACATGGGAGGATTAGAATATCCATATCTTAATTTACTGTGCTGTATGAAGCACTGTGAGAAAAATGTAACAGTAAATACCCTAGTATACCGTAAATATAAAGTTTTGAACAGATTAAACCATTTTGTGCTAATATATTTTAATTTGCTTAAAAAGTTCTTAATTGTAATGTTATGAAAATAAAAGCTATATGCATTTACTGAAAGTTTTTCAAAGTTTTTAGTTCATGAGCACGTCTGATCTGTTTTATCTGAATTTTTGCAAAGCCTGATTAACAGCCGAACAGTAAAATTGCTAAACAGTGGTAGTTTGACCCGTGTTCAAACCCCAGCAAAAATTCTGGATTCCCCATGTGTGATGTATATATGAAACAGTCCTCCACCAAAGGCATCCTTCCTCATAGGCAGATAGCCCTCAAATTACTTTGTCCAAGTTTATTAACCTAACCTGAATTTCTGCAAAATATGCAACAGTGGGCAGCCAGTTTACAGCTCAAAAACTCGTGAACTCATCCTCAAAATTCAACTTCCTGTGCTGCTCATTTGCAAAGCTGCCAGGCTAATGAATTCTTATTTTGAAAAACATTAACCTTCTGATCAGAGCTGTGCCAAGAATGTGGTGAGTGAAATGTCAAATAAAGAATTACAGAGGGCACCAATAAAATATAATAAATTAAAAACTAGTGTGAAAGTGATTAAAAAAGTGCATAGGTTTTCATCAAGTGTTAAAATTTTCTTGCATGATTTTGCCTATAACTATCTGAGTAAATAAATTGTTGCATGTATAATAGTGTGTAAATTATTTTGATTAATTGATAGATGGTGCTAGCATTGTATGTTAAATGCGACATGCCTTTTGCTATCCATAGACTCTCCACCGGCAGCTCAGGAGATGAAGACATAGATGCTTCGCACACTAGTTGATTAGGAACACTTTGCTTCCTGTTTAAAAGATTTTGATTGTGAAAGCATATAGATTTGTTTGATAACTGAATCACTGTGTTTTAATTAATGATCTGTATATAATGTGCACATTTTAAAAGCTATTTGATGTTGAGTGCTCTCAATCTTAAAATATTTTGAAACAAATGGAAAGGCATGATTAAAGTGGCAAAGTGTACCATTTAAAATTGAACCCTTTGTGGGTCTTAAAGGGATGACATGTTTTACTGATTTAACTAGGTTTGCACTAAACAGTTTTAATGCAAATATATAGATTTTGCATATACACATATATAGATTTGCATTTTTTTTTAATTTAAAAATATCTCCACAGAGCAGGAAACTGATTCATGTATTTTATACCACCAGAATCGAAAATACAGATCTCAGCCAGTGTAATAAGTGACCCAGGGAGCAAATAGGAAAATCTGATATTACATATATTAAATATTCTGTCATTCATTGAATTTATTTATGTATTTTTATGTAGTATTTAGAATGAATGCTTTTTTAAAAAACTGAGAGTTTTTGTAAAGAAATAAAGAAAGTACTTCTTTTGTTTTGTTTTTCTCATATACAATAAAATATGATTTAAGATGTAATAAATTTACTGAGATCAGATTTATAAATATAACAGTCTGAAAGCTTGTTATATTTACAATCTGGCTAAAGAGCTTTTGTTACTTCTTACGATACTTGTTTATTATGTGTTAGAACAGAAAGTCATAAACATCAAGAGAAGAATGCATTTTGCAAAATAACAGAATAAAACAAGATGTACTGCAGCACCTGAAACATCAAGCATTCATTCAACATGCTGCATATTAAGGTTAGGTTTGATTATTTGGGTATGGCAAAGCATGTGAAGGCTATCTGCTTTGTGGATGGAAAGTCTTTGTAGTAGACTTTCTAAGGGAAACATTTTATATTCTTGCTACACATGGGGAAAACTGTGAAAAACACCCCTTTCTCCTGTGTTAGTATCCATGGCAGACTACCAGGAAGTCTTCCTGTGGGCTCTTAGTACACTGGTTGGTCCCATTGCACATAAAGAGCTATCTGAGTGTGAACAGGATATGATTATTGATACTAAAAGAATGGATCATACTTTTTCAGAAAACGTTGAAGAATTTAGTGTTTTGATATCTAGAGCGTCTTGCAAGTACTCTAGGGAAATATTTTCATTTTTCAACAGACTGTTCCCATGCCATTAAATGACAAATCATAGACGTGAAATTACTATTGATTTTAGTACATGCTCCTTATAGAATGTTTCAAAAAGTATTATATCAGCTTTTCATTCCTTGAGCGGCTCAATAAAATGACTACCAAGTTTGCTTGAGGAGGAGTTTCTGTGACAGGCTGACCACTTGTCTAGGGTAGATGTTCATGCTCCCCAGAGTCCACGGTCTAGGAAGCAGATATAAGGGCACTGCAGGCCATTGCTCACTGAGGGCTGTTTCATCATTTAGTTTTTCAGAAAGGATTATTAACCACTATTGTAAATCATAGAAAATGGTAGTTGTAAACCAGTCTGTGCCCCACTCTTGGTGCATCATAACAGAATTCAACTACTGGAATAGCCATGAAAGCACTATAATTGGACAGTGGAATTGTAGCATTGAGTGAGGTTCAGATGGGTTTAGGTTTCAGATTCATGCTGATAATCATCTGAAACTGTAATGTGAATCTTTGAAAATTAATAATAGGTCCTTTGCAATCACAAGATACTATTCAGGCTGGCAGAGACCCTGCTAAAGTTTAAGACAAACTCATGTGGTTGGAATGAGGCACTCTAATTTGTTTATAGACTACTCTGAGTAATCTGAAGTATATAAACATTCTCTGAGATCACCAGCAGTACTTTATGTTTTCCAGTGATACTGTTCTGTTATCAGGACCAGATTCAGAAATGTATATATGTATTTATATGTACGTACAAATGTAGAGATACATGCACATACATACATACGTGCAAACAATCATACATTTCTGAATCCCCTCCTGATAACAGAGTAGTACTTTCTAGCTTTTTGATGAGAAAAGAAATGTTTCAACAATTCAGTACAACATGCCACTGATTTGTAGTTGCAAAAACACTCCACTGGCTTTACTACCGTGAAATGTTCCCTGTGGTCCTTCACATAAATTCTTTAGGACTTCTTTGGAGACTAGATCACAAATAATATATTAAATTCCATCCAGTGTAATGCAACTATGGAATTACTACATGATTTGTGGTCAACCATTCTTGATGATTAGTTTTGCCAGTTTATTAATTCCAAGCCTTAATGTTTTAAGAACTTCTAAGAGCCAGAGAAAGCTCAATCTAATCCTGAGCTCCTATCCCTACTATTGTCCCTTTATTTTATATCTGTATTTTTTTCTCTAATTGTTCAGCTTCTTGTGTAATAATCACATCTTTAAAAAAAATTTAAAAAAAAAAATTTAAACTGGATTGTATTTTCTGTATGATGCAGAAATTTCTGTTATTTATATATTTGCAGAAATTTCTGTTATTTATATATTTACTGTTTTGGCATCTGCTTTAGGTTATTCTTAGATTCAAGACACATAATGATAATAATCAAAGCTTCTCTATCATTTTAGGTTAATTGAGATTTCTTTTTAATGTTGTATTGTCGTGTCTTCTTTCACTTATCAGACAGTCACATCAGAACAAGCCCACAGAATTCATCGTGGCAGGGAGTGCAAGATTGTGCTTGTCATTGGCAAGAGCTTAGAGTGCCATACAGGTAGCAGTATGACTTTGCTCAGTTCTGCCCCCAATTTTGATGGAGAGCACCAGGGAAGGATGGGTCAGAGTGTCTCCCACCTCTTTCCCCTACCGCCAACCTATCGAGAGGACTTTCGGCTCGCTGCATATTTAGATTGCCCTCATGCCACACAGACACTATCATTTACAAACATCCATGCCTTCTCTGGGATTCAAATCCGGGTCCTTTGGTACGGCAGTCGGCGTCAGTTATCACTATCCTGGTTGGCTGGCATTTTAATGTTTTATGGTTATTTGCAACTAATATTGACAGTTTCATAATGGGGAATTCATAAACAAAATCGATTTTTTTACTACTTTTTACCCCCTATCAATTATTTTTAGTTCTTTTATTAACACTTTGCGGGCCGCGCATTTATCGAAGCACCGTTACGCTGCCGCCGGTTCACGCAGGTATTATACTCTTGTATGCAAATTGGTTTAATGCACTTCTTTTTGGATCTTTTACTTACACATTCGACCATGTCTGCCGAAGTTATCGTAGAAATCATCATTATCAATTTTTTGGCCGAATTCCCTTTTCTACGAAATTCCATTGACTTATTTTTCAATGTAGCAGATTTTAAACAATTTGGCACTCCTCTGTTTACTCTAATTGTGCCACAGATGTTTGTTTTATGCTTTAGTAACTCCTCTGCAACCTTTACACTATTGTAATAGTTGTCCACATATACATTGTGCCATAAATTTAAATATGGCGATAGCACGGACAATATTGTTGCAATTAGCGATTTTCCTTGCGCGCAATATATTTCTAAATTGCATATATAACCAGATGTCGCCTCACACTCCATACGGAACTAAAATTCCATATTTTATAATTTTCGCAGGATTATATGTACGAAAAGATAGCCTGCCCCTCCATGGAATGATACCTTCATCCAGCGATAATTCTTTCTCGGGTTTATAAATTTTTTGAAACATTTCTGCCAGGTATGAGTAAACTGGTTTTATTTTATCAAGCCTTTCTTGGTAATGCTCATTATTACTGAAGTGCCAATACTTCCATAACTGCCGAAATTTGCTCCTTTGCATAGTATTTCCAAAAATAGGTGTATGTAATCCACTGTGAGTAGACCAATAATTGTCTTGTTCTGGTTTTCTTACTATTCCCATTAGGATAGCAAACCCCAAAAGTTTTTTCATTTCTGCAACATTTGTATCAATCCAAGCTTTATTCTTTTTGATTCATCGTTGTTATCACTATTCTGCTGATTATGATATAAGTTTGTTTGTGTGGCAAAAAAATTAAATAAATCATCCCCAATGAACAATTCCACAGCTGATAATATATCTGGTGTGTATAGTACCTGTAACCCAAACCGTTCCAGGCAAGCATGAAAGTTAGGTTTAAAATCAACTTCTGACCAATCATTTGCCACAGAATTCTCTTCATCACTTTCAGATTCACTAATTATTGGTCTTCCCTTATTTTTGAATCGTCTCACAATTATATCGCTCCCACTGTCCGAATCACTTTCACTATCAGAGCAATTATCCTCTTCTGATAACAGATCAGCATATATTTCCTCATCGAAGAGCATTTTGAAGGATATCTTTAAATCTAACGTAAGTTTCCGATATTTGAAGGCAGCGAAAGACAGTCTCAAACTAACAAAACAAGCGTCCACGAAAAAAAGATTTCAATAATAGACAGTCTGGTGAATTGGGAGAGGAAAACAGTTGAAACCAATGTTTCCTGATCGTCAAATGTTTTGCTATAGTATGTCTATCTATACAAATATCGATGTGAAGCATCGTCGTTGGCGAAAATAAGTCATGCGTACGTGACAGTGGCCGATAACTGTTGCCGACAGTGGCCGATAACTGTTGCCGAGCAAAAGTCACGCCAGCGTGACAGCGGCTCGCAAAGTGTTAAGATCATCGGTAGTGTATTTTATTAATTTTATAACATTCTGAAGTGAATAATTTATATAGAAATTTTTGGTTTTACAATGAACTTTACTGAACTTATACACTAATAATTATCTAAATCTTCTTTAATAATAGATTATCTTTCTTCTTTCAGTGGATGATAAAGCAATGTTAAAATTTATTCGTGACAAAACTGCAGCTCCTTATTTTTCTAATCTTGTGTGGTTTATTAAAGAACATGTTACAGAATTGGATAAATGTGTAAATGCTTCTGAGTAAGTACTTTGTTTGAGTTTTTGAATGTTTTTAAAATAGTACTATTCATTGTTGATTTTTGTACCTTTGAATAATTTTAGGTATAGAAAATGTTTAGCAAAACAAGCCACATTTTGAGAAATTGTTTGTTTACAATTATTTGCTTAACAATACACGTATTTTTTAATATTTTAGCATTTTTTATTTGTTTCTGATGTAATTTCTAATTTTTTAAGCATTTTTCAGCATTAATTCATACTTTATGTTAATTCTTACTTTGAAATATGTAATTGATGAATCATTTTTGGTATGTATAACTATTTATAATGAATAAATATAGTATAAATTTTAAAAAATTATTTCTCTTAGTTTTGAAAAAATTTATGTGTAATATTTTCTGTTAGTTTGGATTTTAATGTGTGATAGATTGCTTGCAAGATAGTTGCAGTAAATGTATGAGCAATTATCTTTTGGACAAAGAAGAGCTATGTTTATCTTTATTAATAAGGTTTATGAATATATTTTACATTCTGTTTTTAATTTAAGGTTCCAAGTTCAAACAAAACTTGCTGATTTGGTAGCTGAACATTTGGATCATCTTCATTATTTAAATGATATACTTTGCCTGCAGATAGAGGCTTTGAATGATGTTCTAACAGATCACCTTCTCAATAAACTATTGATTCCTGTTTATGTATATTCATTGGTTCAGAATGGACAGAATGCTAGTTCAGAGGTATTAAATTATGCTATTTTTAGTTGCTTCTTCCCCCTCCCCCTTTTTTTGTTTGTTAACTTTTTATCCTGATGCTTTGGTCTTATCATATGATTGATACATTGATTCATGTTATGAAGTAAACAATTTTTGTATAAAGCATTATATTAATATTTTATTTTATTGCTATGTGGTGTTCTAATTAGTCACTTTATATAAAATCAGAGGTACTGCTTTGTTAAAATGATGCATCCTCCTTGCTTAAAATAGGTAGAAGTTAATTGTTGGTTATTTCTAACATTATATAAAATTAGGTGAAAAGATCTTGGATTTTATAAGAAACTCCTTAATGCTTTCAAAGCAGTTGATTAGGTCTCATTTCTTAAGCAGTGAAATTTTTTTGCAAGAGTGGGTTATGAAGATGTTTTTCAGGGAAGGGGGTATTTGAAAAAAGGGATTTATTCAGATTACCTCGGATATCAGAAAAATTTTATTTAAAATTGCTGACAATCTAAGGTTTACTAATTCAGAAGTCAAACAACAAAAATTAGCGTTATATTTGCAAAATTTTTTTACAGGACTAGTTTCGATGGTTTTACCGAACCACCATCTTCAGCTGCAAAACCGCAAATGAGCACCGGTTTTGCAGCTGAAGATGGTGGTTCGGTAAAACCATTGAAACTAGTCCTGTGAAAAAATTTTGCAAATATAACGCTGATTTTTGTTGTTTGACTTCTGAATTAGTATTTATTCGGCGTGTTATTGTGCCTTAATCTAAGTTTTTTTTTTTTTTTTTTTTTCTAATTTTACATTGGCATATTTCTCTTCTGGATAGTTCTAGCATTGATTTCCAAATTTCTGTTGTGAAAGCTTATCATTTTTTTTAGCATTCTTTGTTGACTAGATATAAGGAAAGTTTTATTTAAAATTGCTGACAATCTAAGGTTTTTCTTTTTTCTAATTTTACATTGGCATGTTTCTCTTCCGGATAGTTCTGGCATTGATTTCCAAATTTCTGTTGTGAAAGCTTATTATTTATTTTAAACAGCATTCTTTGTTGACTTAAAACATTTTTTTATTACTTCTATAGTAGCAGTGCATTATATTTTTCATCTAGAAGGTGATATATTCAATAAATACTAAAGAGCAATAAATATTTCATTATTTTAGATCTGATTTTAAAACATGTCTCTTAAGAATAAATTAAAAAGTTAATTTAAAAATATTACCCTTGTTTCATAATTTCAAGTAATGATAAACTTTGCTCTGGGAAAATGGCAAAAATTGGATATGTTACCATTATGCATATATGATATTTAATGTAAGTATTTTTATGTCAGGAAGATCACATATAACTGTGCTATATTTTTCATACCATAATTTAATACTAAAAATATAAGGAATTGTATTTTAGATGAGCATTAAAAAATTGGTATATAAACTATATATTGAGAGTAATTTTTTCAGAATACTTATTATGTAATATAGTCATCTAAAGTTGAAATTAAAAATGCAGATTATTTTGTTCTTTTCTGTTTTCTGTAGATAATATTACACATTTTTAACTGTACAGCAATTAGCTTCCTTTTCACTTTTAATTACTTAATTTTGTGAATTTGCATTTAATTGTTATACTTTGGGTAAAAGGTAGTGTTAAGTTAATTTTAAAATGATATTTAGATGGTTATGAATAATTTTATCCATTTTAATGAACTTTGAAATGAAATCTGTCATAACTTTTTTTATTATTATAATGTAATTTTTATTTTCCTGTGACTTGTGGTTATTTTTCTGTAATGTGGATGAATCCTCGTGTAATAATGGGTATAAAATCCAAGCATACAAAGTGTTGAAGTGTCAGTGCAAAATTTATTCCATGTGCAAGTATAGTTCTTCCAGTGGTGATATATATTTGCATATGAAATTTTTTATGCCTCAGTTGCTCAAATATTCATTGTTACTAAGTTACTTCTAGAATATTCATCAGTCTTTCTTGGTTTATTTTAGTGCCAGTTATTAACGGCTGGTTTTATTGCTCTTTTCTTTAGCTATTTCTTTTCTTATAAACATATGTTTTCATGACTGTTGTAGGAAGAAAAACCACGAGTAAGCTGTATTGTTTCTCTCTTTTTGCTGTCTCAGGTAATTGAATTATATCGTTTTCTGAAGTGAATGTTTAAGTATTATGTCTATATATTTTAGTTCAGTTTATAAACATATAAGTATTTTAGTAGTTTTATGTTTACCTAATATTTTTATTGCCATTTGCTTTGCCTGGAAAGGAATGTTTGCTATGCAGCTGTCAATTTTTAAGTCTATATTTTGTATCTGTATTTGATTCAGAAGCTGGTATTAATATTTTTCTTAGAATGTTTTTTCTTTGGATGTGCTTAAATGTGCAGTTATTTTTTGGCGTCTCTGAAAAATTATATTAAAAACAAATTTTATATAAATTTTAACAAACATGTATATACATAAAAAGCAAATTTAAAGTTAAAATAATTTAAAAATGTGCAAACATACAAAAGATTTAATTTTCGAACTAATCTACAATATCATTTAAATTCAGATAGCATAAGTAAATTAAGTGCAAAACCAAACCATGAAAATAAATTCACCAATTTGGCAAATTAAAATTAATCTAAATATTTTTTTTTAAAAAATGCATAAGTGAATGACTTTTGAGCAGGCAGGAGACAGACTTATCAAGAGGAAGTTGCTTCCAAACCTAACTCCATAATCATTCAATTCGTGTTTCGTCATTCATGCAGGCAAGGGTAATCAAAACCAAAAGTAAATAAGTCAAAACCAAAAGTAAATACATAGTGAAGAATGTCCAAAAAGAAATACCAATAAATTGATACCTTGAGAAATTAGCAATTAAAATAAAGGTCTAAAAGAAAATACCAATGATGAAGTATTTTGAGAATTAAGCAATGTAAAGTCTAGTATTAAATTAAATAAAAAAAAAATTTTTTTAATTAAATTTTTCAGAAAAATTAATTTAGAAACCAATGCATTTTAGAAACCTTGTCTACAGAAACCTCCCCGACACGAAATATGCATATCAATCAAAAAGAAACTAAAAAGGAACTAGACATAATTTATATAAACCAATAAGAAACTAAAAAGAACTAATTCATAATTTATAAAAAACAAATAAATACTTAAAAATATAATTACATATTTAGAAAATACTTAAATACTACCTAAAAAATACTTAAAAGCAAGTAAAAAGTAAGTTTTAATTCTAACTTACCATATAGTGTTGGGGTCTGTAAAAGTATTTCCTCAGTGATGTAAGTGTGTTCTGCAAATTATATAGATGGTGCTTATGTAAGTAAAGTTGAGTGCCAAGCTGCTATCTTTGTTTTATTAAAAATTTTGTAAACTTTAATATTGAAATATTTAAATAATATAAATCTAAAAAAAAAAAAAAAATCAAAGAATATCCTAAAAGTATGTAATTCAAGTTTTAATTTTAACTGACCAACTATTTATGGTAAGGAGTTTAGTAGCTGAGTCAATCAAGAGATGTAAGTTTGCTCTGCAAATATCATAAAAAGGGTGCTCTAATTGAAGTAAAGTAGAGTTAAGGGGTTATTGTGAATTAATAAATGTAAACTGTTTGTAATGTTAAATGTGTGTTGCAGAATTATGTAAATAATGCAAATAAAAATGTTAAGTGAAAATTGCAAATTAAAAAGTAATTAAGTAAAACTAAAATGTTTAAAATTTTAAAAAGTTTTAAAGTAAAATTTAAATTAAAGTCTTAAAATGTCTTAAAAAAATTCCCCAAATTTTTTTAAGTAAAATTTAAATTTTGAAATGAATTCCTAAAAATTTTTTATTTATTAAATTGAATTCCTTAAAAAATGTTTATTAAAAGCTAAATTTAAAGAAAGAAAATATTGAAAGTTTTAATAAACTCGATTCCAACTGGTATATCAAAACTTTACTAAATACTGGCTAAAGTATGGAAAATTAGAAGAAGATTAAAATCTTCACTCAATTCAGGCTATAATTGTGACTTTTGAAAAGAGTTGGCCCTAGTAAAAGGAAAGAATCCAGTATTGATTAAATATACATATTTACAAATTTATTTACAATAAAAATTTACAAAATAATTCCTTTACTCTTCTATATCCTCCATTACCCTCCAGCTAAGGTTTAAGGTAATGTTATCATACCATAAAGAGCCAAAACATTATAAAGTAAAGTTAATGCCTGCCTTTTTAATATATGAATTAATAAATTTTGGTGGTACTTGGTTATCAACTTGAACATTAATTAGCTTTATTATTTCTTCCTTTAAATCTTCTATTTCAGTACATATACTTTTATTCTGATTATATGGTTATGAAATGTGTTTTCTATGACTTTTATAGAGATATTAGAGTTTCAATTAATTAGCTGAATAGTATGAAAATGGAAATTCCTTCTTTTATCATATAATTTAATTTTGCTGTGTTTAATAATTAGCAGGTCTAGGTATTCAGTAGTATCTTGATTCGTATTCGTTTTATTAAGGTAAAACTATTTGGGTAAATTTTGTATTGCTCAAAAGCAGAATTATTATTGAAAGTTATAATATCATCTATGTATCTAAATGTATGTGCAAATAGCTTTAATTCATTCTTATTTAAACTTAGTTGGAATTTATATTCATAAGTAAAAAGAAATAGGTTACATATTTGTGTAGAACTGTTTGCTCCCATAGGAATTCCTCTCACTTGCTGAAAGATTTTATTATTGAATTTAATGTAGGTATTAAATAATGCACAATTCAGATAAGTATTCCATCTTTCAATACAAAGGATGTCAAGTATGTCAGGAAAAAGTTGTGGGAGTTACATTAAACTAGTAAAAATTTCTTCTAATTGTAGAGATATGTTTACCATTTTATATGTTTGCACATTTTTTTAATTATTTTAACTTTAAATTTGCTTTTTACGTATATACATATTTGTTAAAATTTAAATTTCATTCCTTGCAGCAGTGGCGCAGGGAATTGAATTGGATTTGTGTTTAAATTCGGTTTGTTCTTTTGAAACAATTTTAATATAAATTTAATATAAATATGCAAAGAACCTAGTTCCCATTAAGTAATTTGCATTCTAAGTGTTATTTTTTGCAAACTTCTATTAAAAATTTCATTCATTATATCATTTATTATTCTTCATATTTCATTATGCAATCTTAATATGCATTAATTTGAAGTATTAGAATATTGATGGAACTGTGTAAAGAATAATAAAAAAAAATTCTGAAAGTGTTCAGATTTTTATAAGTTGCCCAAGAAGACTTTAAAGTTTAATATGGTTTCTAAGTAAAGATTATCAATAGACATGGCCAAGGTGAAGTAGCAAAACATTTTATAGGATATTAGATGAATATGCATTTAGAACTAACCTGAAAACGTTAGGTATCTTTTGTATATAAAAATATGTAGTGTAATTCTGTAAAAATATTTAATGATTTTAGTCATGAATTAAGAGATAAGTAAAAAATAATATTCTAAGAACAGCATCTGTTGCTTTTTAATAGTTTATTTTGTTAATTAATTACAAACAGATTATGTATGAAAGAAAAATATTCTCATGATTTTCCAAATAGCAGCAGACTCAAAGAGTAAGTGAAACTATAAGTAAAATAACGTAAGTAAAATAACACAAAATTTTGAGAATCTTTTTGGGCTAAAAAATAAGCATGATTCATATGTCTAATGCTTCCATTATTCTGCAAAATAATTAACATAAAATTATTTTCATCACTAATTTGTCACTGATTATTTTTATTGTTAGGTCTTTTTGATCGTATCCCATCGACCTTTGGTTCAGCAGCTTGCCAGTGTGATATTAAATGGAGAAATGTCTTTATTTGATCCTACAAATACATCAGTAAGCCTATTAAAACCGATTTTGTGGACAGTACTTGAAATTTGTTAGAATACAATATATAATTTATTAATGTTCTTTCTGAAACAATAAAATAATGGCATATATTTAAGTATAAATTTAATGTTTTTGAACCAATTGTGCATTCAGTCCTACTGAAAAATTATACTTAAAAGTAGAGAAGATCTTTTCCCTCCTTCTTTCAAAGAATATGAGTATCAGTTTTCAACTGATTTGTATTATATTTATCTATAATGTGATATCAGATGTGTAGCATGTACTAATATGTACATTATCATATGAATTTTACCATGTGTTTCGTATTCTCTGTTAGATCATTTTTGACTGAATGTTAAATTCAACTCGTATACCTAAAAAAATACTTTTATAGTTTGATAAATTTCTAAAAACAGTTTTTTTTAAGATGAAAATTTAGTAATAGCATAATTACTTAATACAGTCAAAAGTCTTTAATCCGGACTCGTCGGGACTTCGGCGATTCCGGATTATTGATTTTTCCGGATCATCAGTTTAAAACTGGTAAGATGGCATGCAGAAATTATAAAATTAAAAATATGAAACCGTAACTTATAAAATAATGAGCAATTATGATCTAAAGGGTATCAAAATTTACAAAAAAAGAAGCTTAATATTTATTTGTTTACTTTATTAAACACTTCTTTCAACGTGCGCATGCGTATAGCATACATTACGCATAGCCGAAATTAGAAAATTGCAACCAGAAAACTATTTGATTTGTATTCGTGATATTTATAATGACGAGGAATTTGATTTAAATCATATCAAAGACGGAGTACATCAAGATAAAATACTACATTTAGTAAGGAATTATAAGCCGAATAAAATAAAAACATCTGCCCTGAATATAACGATAGTGATGACAGATCAACTTCCAGTTCATTGCGTGCCGCGACGCCCCCCCCCCCCCCCTGCGCAGAGCAGCGTGAAATTGATAAACAGATTTCGGAACGGTTAGATAAACAAAGGATATGTCTTTATCCATTTTTTGTAGCAATTCCACTTTTTGTTTGATGGACATCGAAACATACTTTCGTTTTGTAGATCCTTTGGGAGCTCCAGCATTGGAAATTCTATTTGACATAATCGAAAGCTCAAGCTTACTTTTATAAAATTGCTCTTACAGTTTGCAAAAAAATAATAAGCCGGATCCAATTCGAAGATTAAGGAACAACGCAATCATCAACATTAACTGAAATAGATAATTAGATAATTTTAGCTTATACCGTCTGTTATACATTAAACGCGCACGCGAAACGTATTCTGCGCTTGCGCAGACGCATATGCGTAGTCGTAAAGGTCTTGCGCGCATGCGTAAACCCCTATGCGCATGCGCAGAAAGATTTTAGCTTTGAGGTCCGGATTATGGGTGTCCGAATTAACAACTTTTGACTGTACATAAAAAACATAATATAACAATTAATTTTGTTATTGTTCTTTCATTAAAATATAGAAAAATACTTCCCCCCACAAAAAAAGTAATAAAATTAAAGTTTTTATTTTAAAAATTTTACCTTATTATGGAATAAATATATACTTTTTAAATGCTTTCATTGTATTCAAATATTATAATGCCTTTTATTATAAGTCATAAATATTGTTTATTATGGTATTCTATTAATGTTACTTGTTTATTTTAGCTTTTGTAATTCCAGTATCCGTATTTTTAAATTTTTGCTTTTTATCTCACTAAACACAGTTTCATTTTTTATATTGATGAGCTCTGCTTTTTCATCACTGTTATTCATATTTGCTTATGGTATAAAAGCAAGCTGCACACTATTTTCTCTTAGCATATCACATAATGCATTTTGGGGAAAATGAAGAAGCCAGAGACTTCATTGCTGTTTCATTCAAGAGGAGTAACTAGATATATTGCTGAACATGTCTGTGTCTTCCATTTTATACGAATTGCACTCGTATAGTTATATTAACATATAATTAAAGCAGCAAGCAAAACTAATTTGTAAACATGTAAATAATTACAATAATTGATCTATTAATAACAAAATCATTATTTAATCTCGATGGAAATTTTGCATATGGCAAAAACTGTACACATGACATGAAACATATTAAAAATTTTTAATTTAGTATCTTATTATAGCTTCTAGATACTCTGTTATTCTATAAATAAATACTATTGCATGCATATGGCTCATAATAGATAGAATGCACATAGAACCGATGACAGCGTGATAAAATTTATTTTCTCTAAATAAACACTTAAATAAACTACAGTTCTGAAACTTTCTACCAAAGTACTCGCACAACTGTTCTCAGTAGGACAGTACAATTAGTAGTTACCACCTCAAACTACGAATAATGTTAAACACAGCGCAATTGCAAGGCACATCCAAAGAGCGAAGCTCACTCAGAAATCTCTTGGTTCTGCAAATCAGCTCTGAACTAAAAACTGAGAAGTGATCCTGTCTCTGGTCTTATAGTCCTCCCCACCTGGCCACCGAGAAATTTCCGGTGCTTTCCATTTCTCGAAATTATAGGATATGGTTACATATATGAGCTAGATATGGTTATAGTTACATATAGGGATCAAATACAGCTATTCAATTACTGTTATACAGGGACCAAATCAAAATATTGGCAAGTTTGGCGTGAAAAGTCAGTCGCCAAAACTATCGCCATCTTGCTAATTTGGCGAGATGGCCATTCACTTCAATTTAAATATATTCATCCTGTAATCTTATTTTCCTCCAAAGCTTCACATTTCGTATTACTTTTTGTGTTACATTATACAAAATTTTGTGACATTGCCCCCATCCCAAGCACTGCACATCATGGGCAATCCATGGACAGAAAGCCATACTTACAACAAAGGAAAGTCAGTGCTATACAAAAATAATAATTATAATAAATAATATTCAGCAAATCAAATACTCACCCAATAAATAAATGCATGCACATACAAATACATAGGACCATAGTCTTAGTATGTTATTTATATTATATACACTATGGGTACTACTTAATATAGCCATAGTAAGAGGCTAACCTGTCATAATGAACCACTTTAGGCTTGAGAATTTTGGATCCAAATAGCAGTGCCATTCAGCCTGTGTAGGACTGTGTAAGGACTGTCCGAGGGTGATTGTAGTTTAGGAGAAAGTCCTTTCTGTTGAATCGAATTCCATAACCGTACTTCATCATTGTTGAATCGATGCTCTGTAGTTCTCACATCATATTCTGTTTTCATCTTCTCCATCACCAAGTTAACATGCTCTCAAGCAAAACTGTGTGCCACTCAAACTGTGTCTGAAGATTCTGAATGTTCTCCTCAAGCAATGAAGGCACATCTGGAGGATGACCAAACAATAGATCACAAGGCAGACGAAATTGGCGGCCGAAAAGCATCAAGGATAGGAAATAGCCTGTGGTCTCATGAACAGCACTGCTATAGGCCAATAAGGAATGTGGTAATTTTTGGTCCAACTCCAGCTAATTTCTGGAAACCATCAGTGAGCTGTTATTAAGGATGGTTTCATTAAACCTCTCTACCATGCTGTCTGGCTGTGAATGTAAAGGTATTATGTAGGTTTTGTCTGTCCAGAGTAGTTTGCAGAGTTCTTTAATTACAGCTGAGATAAAATTCCTCCAATGCTTAGAATGTAACTGAAGAGGCATTCCAAACTTGGAAATCCAGTGGTGTATCATTTACCTCTGCTATCATGGCAACCTCTTGATTAGGGATATGACATGTTTTAGGCTACTTTATGAAGTAATCAATGTATTTGTTGCTATCAGCAGTTTGTGGCAGAGGCCCCAAGATGTCAAAGGCAATGCATGCAAAAGGCACTCCCTACATTGTAATGTTGCACCTTCTCTTGGCTATGTTTCTTCGGTCCTTTCAGGTCTGCACAGGCATCTCAAGTGTCACTTTTGCATGTCAGCCCTTGCTTTACTCTAGTAGAAGCACTCAAATTCTATGCAAAGTCTTCATTATTCCAAAGTGGCCTCTTAGACTGTATGAGATTCTTTAAGGACATCTGGAATCTTGGAAGTATCAGCTTTGCATTTCCATCATCTGATTTGAACTTCCAATACAAGATGCGTTTTCAAAATGGGGCGAGTCCCAGAGAGTCCAATATTGTTTTGTTTTAGGGCTACAGATTGAAATCTCCTGCCAAATACATTTCGTACTTGAAGACCTCCATCAAGTCAATTATGGGTTTAATATCGCCATCTTCCAACTGATGTTTCATGAATTCTTCATTACTCAATGGGTCTTGATCAGCAGATGTGTAAGTTGTAACTTGATTGTGCAACTGAATTAACCGTATTTCGCTTTGACCATGGAATAATATTAGCAGCTTTTTGGGCAGAGTCTTCCAGACAGGGCTTCGCCATTTCCATGTGATGATCCTCTCTGGTGACGGATTAGTGATATCTTACTCCTGTAGTCTCTGTATCCCTCTGGTTATTTGGCCTATGGCATTCTTTAAGTTTAAAAGCCAGGTCAGCAGTGCATGATCTGCACTGAACAGGAATTGTCTGATATAAAGATTATGATGGAAATGTTCTACTTCTTTAAATATGGCAAGCAACTCTTTTCTGGTGACATTATAATTCCTCTCTGGTTTAGACAGACACTTGTTCCGGTATGCTACAACATGTTCTGACCAATTATTTCTTGGAACAAAACAACACTGACGCTCTCATTGCTCACACACCTGTATCCAGAATAAATGGTTTGTTGAGCTATGGATACTTCAGGTTGTCACAGATCGTAAAGCCTCCTTCTGTGTGTTAAATACATTCTCACATTTTTTTGTCCGCAAAACTTTTGCTTGCTCTTTTCTTTGTCAGTTTGTGAAGGTGCCTTGTAATGGAAAAAAAGTCCTTCACAAATCTCCTGTAGTAGGTACAAAGCCCCAAGGAGACTTCTTAACTGGTGGACAATTTCACGTTTCCAGTCTTCAACTGCTGCCATCTTTTCTGATTCTATACACACACTTTTAGCAGAGATGACATGTCCTAAGTAAGTCATTTCTTGTCTGAAAATTTTCATTTGGCAGAACTCAGCATTAGATTAGTTTCATTCAGTTTTTGAAGTACCTTCCATATATTTTCCAAATGTTCTTCAAAAGTTTTCCCAACATTAATGATGTCATCCAAGTATATCAGATAGACTTTGTAGGAAGGATATCTCTGCACCATCTTCATAAGGCATTCGAATGTTGCCAACGCATTACATAATCTAGGCGGCATTACCTTCAACTGCCAGAGTACTTGTTTGGTAGTAAATACTGTCTTTTCTCAATTATCAGGGTATATCTCTGCTTTCTAATATCCACTTTTTAAATCAAGCATCAAAAACCACTAGCGTCCAGAAAAAGTGTCCAAAATGTCATCAAATCTATGAAGAAGGTGATGTCTTTCTTTGTGACTGTGTTCAACTCCCAATAGTCAATGCAGAATCTAGTGGAACAACAAGCTTTCTTTCAGACCAGGGCAATGGGGGAGGACGAAGAATTTCATAAAGGCTGAATAATGTCACTTTCTTGCATGTCCTTTAGAAGTTTTCTTACCTCCTCCTGTAGATGTCTTAGATGTTGCTTTATTGGTGGATGATCTCCAGTAATTCTAAGCTGAGCTAAACTGATTCGACCTATGTCAGAAGATGTGGGGCTAAAACATTTTGAAATTCTTGAATGACATGTTCTGCAGCATTTCTGTCTCCCTGGCTTAGTTGTGCATTCTGCAGTAATTCGGATGTTAGGCTCTCCAAAAACACAGAGATTGATGAATTGTTGGTTCATTTAACTAGTTGCTGAAGTACATGGTGCAGCCATATGACATTTCCTAATGACTTTTGCTTTATCACGGACATGGCAACTCTCACACCAGGATGACAGTCCTCTTGATGAGTGTCGAAGCTACTAGTTTTCCTCGTAGGGTCTAACAATTCTTAAAATGTTCCGTTATGCCAAACTGGAAATTTCTTTTCTCGGTTTGTGAGTCCAAATAGTAAAAATTCTGCTCTTGGTGGTAATGTGATAGTGTCTTGCTGTGATTTGGTACACAGATTTAACTCCTTCATCTTTAATTTCGAACAGGATTATGTCTTCAGAGGCAGAATGCAGTTTGTTATTCTTTAAGTCCAAGGAAAAATTGTATTTCCTTAGAAAATCTAATCTAAGTATGCAAAGGTCTCCATTATTTGACATGTATGCTATGTCAATAGTAGGCAGTACTTCCAAGCATGATGTTAATGTTCAGCTTTCCATCAATGTCAGTTTTATCTTTGGACACAGTTTAGTTATTTCTTGCCAAATTTGGCGACAAAAATTAGTCACCAAAACCATCTCCAAATTGGGGATATCTCATCAATTTAACAAGATTTAAATTCCCTCAATGTTAAATCAACTTGCCCTTGTAATCTTATTTTTCTGGCAAAATTTAGTGTTTAGTGAGACTTTTCATGTTACATGATGCAGAAATTTTAACAATATGAAAGTCCAATGAGTAGGATAATATCAGAGGTTGAAAAATAATATTCAATAGCTATTTGTTTATATTATTAGTATTATGAGGTAAGGTATTCTTAATTTATTTATTTGGTTGTACAGCTATGTGAAATTAATAAATTACTGAAATTAAACTTTGTATTTAACTATAATTTTAAAAATATTTTATATTCTGAAAAAATTAAAAAAATACAACAAATGCTTATTTTTCAACATAGTAAAAGTGAGGGAGACTGTGTTTGGTAAAGGTTATATAAGCTGAAACTTTCTTCTAAACTGATTAAATTTCAGTGTATGAAATTTTCAAAAGTCATGACAAAAATGTATTGCTCTGTCTTTTAAAAACAATGCTTTTAGTTTTAAAGCATTTTATTTGTTACTTTTGTTCTTTATGCATTTTGTAAATTGTAGATTGTAAGCTTAATATATGTATCGTCTTCATTTTCTTTTTAGCCTTGTGAAACTGCTTCAGCACCATCTGGAGAAGTAGTAAATGGACCCCAGTCAAATTCAAATGAAGCTTTACCAGGAGACCAACAGAAAGGTTCAGAAAGTATAGATGATTATTCAAATGAAAGTAGCTTGGAAGGACTATCTGGTAAAAATGAAGTAAATTTATTGTTAAACAATCTTTACACATTGATGTTTATTGCAGTTTTATATTTTTGCATATTACCACATTTTCTGAATTTTTGTCATTAAAATGCATTTGTTGTGCTTATGTTGTAAAAATAATATAATGTGTTAATGCATATGGTCAATGTAATGCTCATATAAAATAATATGGCACTAAGTGTAGAGACATTAGGTTATTTCGAAGCAGGAGACATGAAAAATGATCAATGCCTTCACCAGGACTCGAACCTTGGACCTCTCAAACACGCACTGAATGTGCTGACCATTACACTACGAAGGCGGGAGAAATACCTTATATGCTCCCACCCTTAAAGGGCAACTGGGGATTAGTCGGCCTAATCGCCAAATCCTGGTGGTGGAGAATCATCATCCAGCACCTTTTTTTTAGTTTAGGTGCCAATGTAGAGTCATTAGGTTTTTATGAAGCAGGAATCATGAAAAAATGAGCAGTGCCTTGCCAGGATTCGAACCATGGACCTCTCGAATATGTGCCAAGTGTGCTGACCATTACACCACAAAGGTATGCTAAGAAGGCTGGAAAAATGTCTTTTATACTCTCCCTTTTATAGGGTGACTGAGTATTAGGGGACCCACTCGCCAAATCCTGTGATGGAGAATCATCATTCACTACTTTTTTTTAGTTCGAGCACCACTGTAGAGACATTAGTTTATTTTTTGAAGCAGAAGACTTTGAAAATGAGCAATGGACTCGAAGCACGGATCATTGCTCATTTTCTCGGACTCGAAGCACGGACCTTTCGAATATGCGCCGAATGTTCTTAACATTACACCACAATGGCATGCTATGAAGGCAGGAGAAATACCTTATATAAGTATCTTATCAGAGTTTGTGGAAAAAGTCACTGTTTGGAATGAGGTTTTCACCATCTTATCTGACTTTTAGTCTGAAATCTAGTCTGAAAAATTTAAGTTTCTGTTTTAAATTTTTTGAAGAATAAATTGATTATGATTTATACAAAAAGTAAGATTTAAAAACTTAACGGTAATTTTATTTTCTAGAAGGCTCAAATATTACAGATGAAGAAAAGGTAGTAGCCGCAAAGAAATCTAATCAGTATGAAATGATGCAAAAAAGTTTTACTCTTTCTAATAGGCAAGTGGGGCATTTTTACCTAATACTTAATGCGCACTTTTTATGTCAAAATTCAATGAAAATATTTCAATATTGTGAGCAAGAAAAAAGAAGGAAGTGATTTTTGCTTATAAAAATTTCATTTTTGTTAAACCAAGCATGTAAAATGTTTAACATGCTTGGTTAAAAACAAGGAATTCCATACTTAATGTACAAAATTTTCTCATGTATAATAAATATTTTTAAGGAGCCAACTATAAATTTAAGTATGCATACTGTTTTATCAAGACAGAATCAGTGATCATTCTTTTAAGCAACTTTTATTTCATAGCTGCTTGCAAAGTTATTGCGTTATATCAAGAAACAACTTAATTCCACTTAATTTCTTTTAAATATCTCTCTGAATTTTACACCTCTGCCAGCTTTCATTTTATGTGTGTGTTTTTTTAGTGGTGGTGTAAACCTAACTGCCATAAAATGTGACCATTTGGTAATTAACCCAGGATATATATTCTATGCACCCATAAATGTATTTAACCATCCGCAACTGAAAGTTAAGAGGTTCTTTCTTCCCAAATATATGGGATAACTGTCTGTCATAAATTAGTAATGTGAACTCTTTTTGTTTACACCCATTGGAATGCAAGCTGAGCTCATTGATGACCAATCACAAGTCATGTTGATATTACTTTCTCATGGCTAAAATTATTATAAAATTTCTTTTCACTTTAAATTAAAATAATAATTTACCAATTATATGCATATTCAGAGAAGAGTTGCAATATATAGCACCACTGTGTAGATATTATTCAGCTGTGGGACTGGATGTGTCTTTTTTTAACATTAATATGAGCTTAATACATTGGCCTAGTATAATATGTGGTTAATGTTGAGGTGATAATCTAGTGATGGAAGGAAACACTATGGTCCATTTACATTATCATGAAGTACAGAGGGGCGTAGAGAATGGGTTGCTTTTACTGCACAAGAAACTGAATCCTTTAGTTGTACTTTAGTTGTTTTAGTAAAAAGTAAGATTTAAAAACTTAACGGTAATTTTATTTTCTAGAAGGCTCAAATATTACAGATGAAGAAAAGGTAGTAGCCGCAAAGAAATCTAATCAGTATGAAATGATGCAAAAAAGTTTTACTCTTTCTAAGAATGATGAAGAAAAGCTTTTGATGAGGGGATTAAGAATTTGATAATAACTTGATTCCTCCCTTATGTTATCTTAATAAAAACAGCATTTTTTCTATCATTTCCACTTCAGCTTCACTGTGCAATTGGAGCATTAGCATGGCATGAAAATTTTTTAAATCATCAGACTTCTCTTCATTATATTGATTCCATCTGGATCATCCTGTTCTGCACTTTTTCCACGTAGTTAGATTCATCAAGATGTTCTGCTCATTGTATTTATTCTTTGATTAAAAATAATTTTTTGTGTGCATATTAATCACCACATCTATAAAATGGGTAGTAAGTAATATGGAATGAGTGGCTGTAGCATAAATGCAATTGTTAAAAGATTAAGGTAGCCATGTTTGTTTGAGATGCAGAAAGCCTGTAGGCTAGAGCCCTCAGGCAAACAGTAACAGTTTAATGTTCCATTCTTGCTCCTAAAATATAACCTCCCTCTTTTCATATTTTTAATTTCTTTAATGTATTCTTCATTTTGGATCACTTCCTAAATTGGCATTAGCCTGAATCATCATATCCTGAATTATTGTGAAACAATTTGACTGTAAAAATGTGGAATTTATTTTAAGTAATCATTTATTGTTTTATGTTTTGAGATGGGTGTAGATAAATTTGCATCCATTTTCATGCAAATTTTAAATATACTGATTTTTTTTTTTTTTTTTTTTAAATTATTACTTTAGCTAATCTTTTCAGTTTGGTAAACTGTAATCATTTTATCAACAGTATGAGAAATTACTACGTATTTAAGTATTATTAAGTAATTTAAGTGTTTATCTATTTCCTTTTCTTAATATAAGGAATATATACTAATGAAATACATATTTTCTTTTTCTTTACACAGACCTTTTTTAGAAGCTGTCTTTTCTGCATTAGATTGCAGTGAAAATGACCATGCAGCCTTATTTTCATTATGTGTCTTATATGCACTAGGACATAACCCTGGTAATGAAACTGTTTTTTTAGTTCATATAAAAATTTTGCATTTCAAGTTTAATGTATTGAAGAGTAAATGTTTTGTCTAATTAGTATAAAATTGTAAATGAACATATTTTATCATTGTTCAGTGTAGCTGTTCAGCAGTGATTATTTTAATCTCTATTTTATAATACACTATTATTTATGAAAATTGTAGCAGCATGAAGAATGATTAGTGCTATCAAAGTATTTGCTTATACTTAATCAGATGAAGGCTGTGTATGAAGAAACCTCTAAAATTTAGAGTCTGAATTGTTAATATGTAAACAAAAGTTTATTGTATGGGGTGAGTATATATGCTTATATCTGTGATTTCACATAACTGAAGGTGCATCTATGAATTGTGGGAAATGTGAGATGAGATTTTCATGTTAACCCTTTCTGGCATGCTACCTTTAAAAATTGGAGTTTTGAAAAGAAAAAAAAAAAAAAAAAAGTACGCAGTCTAATTAGGCCTAGAGTACACAAGTAAAATTTTGTGAAGATAGCACTTATCATTTAATTCTGTGAGTGTGCCCAAAGTGGGCTCACTAATTGAATAGAGCTTCAAAAAGAGTGCTGAAACCAGCATTGTTGTCAATGAACTGACCAATGAGATGCAGAGAAACAAAGAATACAGACTCTGTGTTGTCCTAGATGATCAGTGAGCCCGGTCTGGGCACACCTAGGGTTCGCCGTTTGATTTTAGGCAAGATTTGATTTTAGTAAAAACTTAAAACTAATATAGAATAAGGAGATTAGCATACAGCCAAAAAAAAAAAAATAACATAGAAATTTCTTTTCAAACAATTCCTTTTATACCCTGAAAAAATCTGGAAGATTTCTTTGAAAAGTGAGGGTCTTGGAAAACTAAACATGGCTAAAATATATGGACTGTTTTGTGTTGAGCTGCCATATACTATAAATAAAAAAGGTTCAGAGTAACCTATAGTAACCTATAAATCCTTTTTCATTCAATTTTTCTGTGCATACAGAAGGAAATTTTTAGGTGTGTCCAGACCGGACACAACCCTTTGCAGATATGTAAATAGGGTTTTTTAGGAGACAGCAAGCTGCAAAAATATCTGGAATTCACTATGCCTTATTGAAGGGGAAAATATCAATAAATAGCAGCATTGGAATGGGAGCAAATTATTCATTTATGTCAGGGTAAATTTTTCTAGTGAAATATTGCTGATAATACGAGGCATAATGGCATGATAGTAATGCATATGTGGTGGCAGGGACAGGAAAAAAGTGGATGGATCACCAGAACTTCATCAGTAATTGTACAGGTTACTCCGCTGGTGCTGTTGTACCTACTGGACGCACAGTCAGCCTGCAGTAGAAGCTAGCGCAACAAGTTATTTCACAGATACTTTTTAAGGCAGTGTTCAACATTTTCACATTGAATATGCAATTACACATTGATTATATAATTATAAGGTATACCAAAAGTTGTAATGATCTTAATGGATGGATATATTAACTAAATATAATTACAATAAAACCTCAGATATCCGTATAAATCACAATGTTATAATGTGATTTACAACTAGTTATGGCTAGCCATTTAAGTTTATGACTAATTGCTACCATTAACAGTGGTATAATGATGCTTAGAGCATACAAACCAGCATCATACCATATTTTTTTATAATGTTTGTAAGTGCATATCAGTTTGCAATTCCTTTTCCTAACTTTTATCAATTCCTCATTTTTCTTGGTTACACAAATTTTGGAAGTTTCTAAGATTTGTTAAGGTCCTAGCATGGATTTTAAGTAGATATTCATATTTTCAAATGCATTAATGTTGATAAACTCATCTTATACTTCTGAAATACTTTATAGTGTTAAAAGTATGGTGTTCTTAGTAAATGTTGTAAGTGATAGTGCAGTATTTTTATATGTATTTCTTTGGTTTAAGACGTTTCCATATTGTACAGTCATATTTGATGGCAATGAACTGAAGAGAATCAAGTGCAATGAAAATCTGGCTGTAGACCACAAACCCATCTATTCTTCCCTTGATGTGGGAGAGGGATGGCAACACATGAATGGCTCTCCTGTCTAAGTGGCTAATGGGCCCGACCTCCCAGATTAATCTTTTATTATGTTTATACATTGGGAATGGAATTTTAGCTGCCTTCACAGTATTAGAACCATTGATTCTGCAGTGGTCCATTCAGGTATGGCAAGGGCTCATAATGCTATTGTTAAGTCTGAGCTTAGATTTTGTGATTGCTAGGTGTTCAGAAGATTGCTATGTGTATGAAGAAGGTTGACCCTTTGGCCTGCTTCTAGAGAGTCATAGTACTTGCATATAAGCGGCTGATGCTGCACGGGTCTGAGCCATCTCTCTAATGCATTGTAGATCACAAAATGTGACACCACCACATTACTGGCATTTCGTTTACATGGCAATCATGGACTACTAAAGTTTGCTACAAATGTCAGCAGAGCCATGAAGCATTGTAACTGATGTATTAATATTTGTTTGTACAATTTAACATTTTTTCCTTCACGGAGTGCTGGCCATATGCTTCTCTTTGCAGACAAAGTGAGTTCTGTTTTAGGCTGTAATGTTAATATCATATGCTTTAGAACAGCAATTCTCAACCGGTGATAAGCATACCATTGGTGGTACGTAAGAGAAAAATAGGTGGTATGTAAAGAAACAAAGTACTTAAATATTATTTAAATTATATAATAATAATATATTAAATAACCCAACATCCTGTTTAAGTTTTTCCTCTGACACTCATAAATTTATGCAACCTGAGCTTTGTTCAAGGTGAGCTGCTGATGGACTTTAGCAAAATAATCCGTTTTTATTTTCACAAATATTCTTTTAGCCATTGTCATAAATGATGTTTTTAAAAAGGGTAATAGAAATAAGAATATTTAAAAGGGAAAAAAAAATAAGTTCCTACAAAAAGATAATTGTGTCTCGTTAATTCTTTTAGAATCGATCAATTTATGAGCATATCTACACTTTATGCACCTCTATTTCCAGGCACATATTGTTCTATTTTCAATTAGAATAATTTTTTACATTGATTTTCTGACTCTAACAGCAGGTATTTTGTCTTCTTTTTGCTTTGTATTCCGAACTATTGTATGTGATTTGAGACTATCCTCATTTGTTTTTGAAGAACTCGTACTGTGCATTTAAATATTTGGGAAAAAATAATAAAAAAAAACCTATATTTTCAAAATGAAAAAATGGATAGTATTGTCTAAATGGAAAAGTGATGATTCACAGGTGCTGGATTCAAGACAATCTGCTAACAGTAGAAATATTGATAATAAAAGAAAAATTGTTTATAGAAAATATAATCATCTGTGCTTATAGAAAATATAAGTTATCTGTCATTTGAGTTTACATAGAAAGGAGATGAAATGGACCCTCAACTCACTGTCTTGTTTGCAGTGAACTATTATCCAATCAAAGAATGTTTTAAGAGGAAATTTATTGGAGTTCAAAAATATTAAACAATTAATGAAAGGTTTTTGTTATTTCAAGTGAAAAAGCTTTGGAATCTGGTTCCAAGTAAGCCTAGGAATTGCCAATGGGCAAGCTCACTCTATTAGATAAGAACTTATATTACCAGCAGATAAAGATATCGTTTTAATATTATTCAACAAAAAAAAAAAGGCTAATGAACTTAATAATATTCCATTATCAAATGATACAGTAAGTCAACAAATTCATGAAATGTCAAATTCCATAAAAAAGGCGTTCAAAAAATAAAGTGCAGAGAGTATTTCGCATTGCAGTTAAATGAAAAGCATTGATATAACGAGCTTTGTTCGATTATTAGTTTACATACGTTTCAAAAAAGATAAACCAATTGCCGAGGAGTATTTATTTTGTGAATCTCTTCATGGTAGAGCAAATGCAAATGAAATTTTCAAAGTAATTGACAATTTTATGTCTAACAGTGATGTTCCTTGGAATAGGTGCATTACCATATGCAGTAGTGCTGTAAAAGTAATGAGAAATTGTGTACTTGTACATATACTTTACTCAGTGAACCAATACTCTTACTACCATATCAGTACTCATTCCTTTTGGTAGAATCGAGTACTAGTATGAAGCATCACATCTCAGTGAATCACGTGAGTGGCTGATTCTCGCAGGAACTGAAGAAATTCAACCACAAAAGCAGTGCTGTGATAAGGGCTTTTGAGTGTCATTTTCGGGTAGAAATAATTCACTTTGTTTTGGCTATTATTTTGTGATACACTGTTATGATTAAATATTTAATTTTCTATTGCTGTCAGGGCTTAATTTCTAAAATCAGAAGTGCAGAGGTCTATGGAATTCCATCAGGAAAGTAGGAAAAATTAAAATTAAAATAACAAATAAAGAAAATAAATATTACAATAATAATATAATTAGTAATTAAAACAATAAAAAATAGCTATTAAAATGCTTAATAATTAAAATAATAAAAATGTAAAGACAAATAAAAATTTAATTACTTCTTAAATGTATTATGAATAAATAAATTAAAATACTAAACCTCATCTTATTGGCTTAGTGCTGTTTCATCCCCAGCTCGAAAAAGTGTTTCTTCTGCTGACTTCCCCCATCAATTCCCTCTTTCCCGTTTCATCCGCTGTTCAAGAAACAGGTGCAGCCCATTTTCAAATTTTGCTTGGATATGCTGTCCTAGAAGAAAAGAAAAAAAATTGAAGTTAAATTAAAGTTTGAGCAATGCATAAAAGATGACTATAAATATATTTATACAATCTAAAATATAAAAATAATTGAAATTTTTTAGATATAAATCTTAAAAAATTTGATCATGAACAAAAATGCCTGTCCCTTTCAAGTTTTATGTTGTTCAGCCTCTTTGTTTTGTAACTTAATTTATTTTTTAGATAAAGAAGTATAATTATTTTAAATATGAACTATTAATGTGTTATATTCATGAAAAAAATAAATTACCAAATTTTTTTCTTCATTAGCAAATCAATAAAAAAATTATTTGTCTTTCACTTCATGTCAAGTCCGTTACCTTGAGATTATTTTACCCACCATTAGTTTTTAAATCTGCCTAAAAGGCACAGTACATATTCAGCGACATACATAAACTAGTCAAGCTAAGTTTCACCACTTTGAATATGTACTGCCTCCTTTAGGAGATTTATAAACTAATAAGGGGTAAAATAATCTCAAGGTAACAGACTGGGCATAAAGTGGAAGACAATTTATTTTTATTGATTTTCTAAATTTATATCGAACAGTTTTCAATTGATTTTTTTTATATATATTTTAAATTGTAGAAATATATTTATAGTCATCTTTGTGAAATGCATTGCTTAAAATAAACATTAAATATTAATTTATCTTGAATTTTCTTTCTTTCCTTCTGGGATGGCATATGTAAGTAAAATTTGAAAATGGGCTGTGTTCACTTTACAATTAGGCGAATACCTATTTACTTCAATTAAAATGGTCTAGAGGAGATGACTGTTTCTACTTAGCTTTTGATTTCTAACTATTTAATATTTTATATACACAAAGTATGCTTAACAGAATAAGGAATTTCTGACATTTTCAAAAGGTGCGTATCTGAGTGTAATAACATTTTTGTTATATAGTATCCATTTTATGCAGCCATTCATACTTTTGGAGGATTTTACACATGGTGGTCTTAAAAAGGTGATGTTCACTACCAATGTTTATGTTCTCAAAAATAAAAGTCTCTTTTAGAAAGTGACCTCATTGATGTCATCAATTGATGATTCGCTGTAATTAGTTTCTAATAATGGAATTAATATAATCTAATGTCAATTTAAAAAATGGCTCTTAAGAGATACTTATGACTAATTTTTCTTTCACAATTAGCTGTTATCTAAGCTTAATTGTTTTCTTATACTTTTTGTTGTACATAACTGAAATATTTACTTCAATACTTACACACATGCAATAATAGTAAATCCTCTATATACAATAAAAAAAAATACAAAGAATATTCTCTATTACATTTTTATTTCAGCACAGCAGATTTAAGTTATTTTGAAAATGAATATGATGTCTCTTTTTGAAAATAATTTAAAATGAAAATTCTCTTTTTTGAAACCTTTTCTCAACTTATATCATTTCATACTTTGTTATAATAATAATTCATGTATACACAATAAAATTCATCCAAATACAATGAATACCCTTGATTACATTTTTTATTTCGACGCAACAGATATAACTAATTGAAAAATTGCAGAACCTTTTTCAGAATATTTTTTTCAACATAAATCATCTACTTTTCTCTTGTGTGGGCCAGTAAACGGCCGAGCAGTAAAGCCGCTGAACACTGGTAGTTCAGTCCAGGGTTCGAATCCCAGTGAACGGGCTGGCTGCATGAGCATTTTTGTGGTTTTTCCCATGTGTAACATGTATACAAGTCAGTTTCCCTTAAAAAGTTCTCCATGAAGGTGTCCCTCCCCTTCGGCAGATAGCCATAATGTGCTTTGCCATAACTGAATAAACTGAAATAAAAATAAGGAAATTGGTGGGGAAGGCAGCGATAAAACAGCACTTCTTTTTTTGAGCTGGGGATGAAACTGTACTAAGCCTCTGAGATTAGGAGGACAGTAGGTAAAAGCATTCTTCTACTTGTGTGAGGCGAATGTTTAGAGAAACAAAGGATATGCCTTTACCCATTTTTTGCAGTAATTCCACTTTTTATTTGATGGATATCGAAACATGCTTTCACTTTGTAGATCCTTTGTCAGCTCCAAAATCGGAAACTCTTTTTGACATACTCGAAAGTTCAAGCTTTTTATAAAATTACTCTAACAGTCTGCAAAAAATAATAAGCTGGATCCAATTGAAAGATTAAGGAACAACGCAATCTGCAATGCTAACTGAAATAGATAATTAGATAATTTTAGCATAGCTTATACCATCCATTATACATTAAATGCACATGCGTAAACGTATTATGCACATGCATAAACGCATTAAGCATGTTTATGCAGTAAATGCATAAATGCATTATGCATTTACTCGTGTGCAGAAAGTTTGTAGCTTTGAGGTCCGGATTAAAGACTTTGTACTGTATTTTATTTTATTACTTAGCTAGTCATCATTAATTTAATAATTAATTAAATTTTTATTTGTCTTTATATTTTTATTGAATTTTAATAATAATTATTTAATATTGGTGTTAGCAACTGCATTAATTGTTATTTGAATAAACCACATTGTATGACAAATGCAAATAACAAAATGAATTTGTGAGTAGCGATTCGGTCCTTTGAGTCAACCAATGTTCTTGTTACTCTAACAAATACATGCGGTTTGCTTCAGCTGTTGTATGCAACGACAGAGCATATAGCTTAACATTCTGGTGTTATTTCTGAAATAAAGAAAGTCACACCTGAAATTAAATTTACCCACTGCTCATGAAGCTTTAGTAGCCAAAAACGATCTTTGAAAAACCTGAAAATTATTTTGAAGCTAGCTGTGAAATTCTATTAAAAGTCGAGCTTTAGATTCAAGAGTATTTACAATTTTATGCCAAGAGATGGGCAGTGAACATAAAATGCTTTTGTTACATTCCGAAGTAAGGTAGTTAGTTACTTGGGGGAAAAGTTTTAAATCGTCTTTTTGAACTTCAGTCTGTAACTCAAATTTTCTCCTGTGATTCATGATTTGAATTGCAAAATTGTTTATTTATTGATTTATGGTTTATTTATTGATTATTTATTGATTTATGGTATTTATGACACGTTTAGTATTATTTAGCTGATATTTTTCGAAAGTTAGATGAATTAAATTTACGATTAAAAGGGCAAAGTGTTAATTTGTTTACGATTAGAGACAAAATAAATGCAATGATAAAATACTCGAGCTTATATTCAGAGAATTGGATAGTAACATTTTAAGCTTTTTACCACTTTTAGGAAGTTTTCTAATCGAAAATAATTTGAAAATAAAAGAATTAGCATCCGACATTAAAATTTCCGTTGATAAACAATTTCAACGTGTGTTTTTCCAAGGACTGAAAAAGAAAATTGGATTAGAAATCTATTTTCTTTAAATGTACCTGAAATTTTATCTCATGAAGAAAAAGAACAATTAATAGAAATTTCCTTTGCTTGAATTCTAACTGAAGATTTCAAAAATAACACACTGGTTAACTTTTGGCTGAACTGAAAAAAAAAAAAAAGAAAAAAAAAAAAAAAAAAGAAAAAAGAACTTAAAGCCATTTTATATAATGCTATTAAATTTTAATTGTCTTTTTGCACACTATTTGTACAAACAAGGATTTTCTTCCATGTTACATTTGAAATATAAATACTGAACAAAATTAAAAGTGGATCCTAATTTAAGAAGATTAAAACTAACCGAAAAAAGACCAAACATTAAAAGAAAGAAAAAAAAAAAAAAAAACTCTTAAATAGGCCCAAATTTACACTAAATTTTAGAATTAAAATATTATACCTCAAATTCTGATAATTAAAATGGCAACCAATTTTTTATCTAATATTTTTTTTGTGTGCATATTTAATAAAAATGGCCTCTAGGTTTTGCAAATGATAAAAAAGATATTTTATTTACTGTTTCTATTGAGAAATTGGAAAAATAATCATTGTAAAATATAGTGGTGGTACTAAAGTTTTTCAATTTTGCAATTCAATCGAGCATCTGGGGAGGTAATAATTCGTTGGCTTGTTCTGATTACATCAGACAAGTGAGATTAGTAACGATAAGAATGACAACTAGATCCACTGTATTTTAACTAAAGCAAATATGGTTTACTAGAGCCTTTGAAGTTTGTTTTAAAATCTCAGCTTTAAATGGCTACAGAAAGAGAAAACATGACTCCTAATTATGCAAATTCATTTTGATTGGAAGTGCATTCTTACCCAAAACTATGTCCCTCTTTACTCAAAACCATAGAATAACATTCTTGTTTATATCTGCATTGAATATAACTAAATATAATCTATCGTTGTTGCTTTTATTACCCTCTTTGCAGAATTATTTACTCCCTCAAGCATTTACCCGACATATATATTGTTCCTCTTATGGCTTATCAGTTCAGTATACCATTGTTCAGAAGCCTGGGAAAAGTCTTCAGCTGAATGACTTCATAAGATAAAAGCATGACATATGTATGTTTCAGGTTTCTTTATAAAGAAAAAAGTGCAAATTATATGGTGAATATACCTACAAATTAAAAAATGTAGTTAATTAAATGTAGAAATTATAGGTGCGTGTTATACGCCGGAATATACGGTACTTATTTTGTTAAAAATTTGATCATTTATAAACAATGATACTTATAATATGTTGGCTTAAATTTCATTTTAATGAATGAAAGTTTTTTTAATCAAGTAAATATATATTATGGTTAAATATTTTTTAAGCTACTGAAATATTTAGAATATTATTTTATAATGTAGTTAACTATACACAATAATTTTCATTGTTTGTTTTCTCATAAATCTGTTTGCCTGAAATTTTTTCATTTTTGAGATTGTATATTTAGTGTTGCATTCCTTGTGTATTTAAAGTTATATTCCTTTTTTAAAGCGATGCAAGCTCAAAAAGTTGATAACTTTGTGGTATTTCACATCATTTATTTTTTGCATCTATGCATTATTTATTTTGCTTCAGTCTTGAGAACATTCAGAATAATTCTCTCATTAGTCTTGCATTTTATACTGTATTTTTTTAGACTGTAAATTTAGATTGTTTTATTTCTGTATGTTTTTAGGCTGTAGAACTTTCTTTTAGTATAAATAGGAGTGATGAGATATGTGCAAATTTTATTACTCATGAAATTTACTTCAAAATTAATAATTTTAAAATCATTTTATATAACTATTAAGGAAGTATTTATTGATGATTAATAGTATATTTTTAATAGTGTAAAATATATTCATCCTATTTATCTATGTATGTAAATGCTGTTTATTTATATATACAGATAGATAAACAGCAGTGTTTTTAACTGGCATTTATTAATATAAAATTTGATGTTTATTCTTTTGCTCATCTGACTTGGAAATATCTATAGATGGTAAAGTATAATTTTTTTTATAGTTTATAATTTGATGTTGAGATATATAAGTGATACATTTTATTAGTCCTACATTGATTATTGTTCAGGTTGCATTCTTAGAAAACACTGTACTTAATTAAGCAAAATTTTAACTTAATTAACCAAAAATTGGGGAATTTATGATGAAGAATATGCAAGGTCTGTATTATTATTGCTTTTTTTTTTCATATTAAATTTAAACTATCATACACACATTGCAGTTGAAGGCTCTGAAGATCTGAAGTCCTTTATTTTATAATAATGAATGCACCTAATATCAATTAATTGAAGATCAGGATTTATCATACTGAACAATAATTTTGCTTTCCCTTATAGTAAATTATAGCTATAGTATGAATTAGCTGCTGAGTTAATCAGATTGAAAGTCTGTTCTGACTCAAAATGTGATTTTAATAAAGAAATTCTATCAACTGTGTCAGTGAAAATTTTAATAATCGTTTTATTACTTTCATCTGCACAGTTTATGTATTTATCCACAATTAATGTGAAAGCAAAGATTCAGAGATTACACTTTAATTACATAAATTAATTTAAATACCAACTGGATAGTTAGATATTTTTTCATTTTTTCCAAAGTGTCAACTACATTTATTTTTTTCAGTAAATTAATTAGAATTGCTGATTCAATATTATACAGCAGATTGGCAGCATAGCCGTTGTTTTGACGCATGTTATCTAACAGCAGCAGCATCATGGAAATAATTTAGAAAATTTTCACTTGATATTTGCATTATTGATCATTTGCATCCAACACACATTTTGAAATCATGTTACATATATTGTATTTTCAAAATTAAATCATTTATGTTTTCAAAAGCATATTATACTCATGTATTTCAAAACTTAAAATTGTTTTTCAAAAATAAAATTATTGCTTGTTGAAGAAAATGCTGTTTGTATGTGCCTACTATAGGATGTTTTGAATATTTTAGATTGTGTTTTTTTGCCAGATTTGTTTTAATTATGATAATGCATTTTTCAGTTAATATACAAAAATAATGTGTAGCATTGTAGTAAAAATAATTACTTGTCTATGCTTTATTTTCAGTGTATTTGCATTAAGATGTTCCATTAAATACTATCTGTTTTATAGGTATCAATCAAGAACTCCTAGATTCAGTTCTTATGCCTTCTAATAAATCTGAAGTCAGTATTTAAAATTTTTCATACCTTCTTTGTTATAAAGAATGTAACTATTATATTCTCCATTAACTTAGTGTAATTCACTTAAAAATTTTGCTATGATTACTGTAAAATGAACTTCAGTTAATTTTTTTTTAATGAAACAAAATTCTTCTACTGCCTGAAAATAAAACATGTACTAAGTATTTATAATATTAAGTTGGTATTGTTAAGAGGAAAAGTTTTTTTGTAAGGCATCTTGCTTATTGCTTTGTAAAGTTAGTTGCATATTGGCTTGTCTTATGAATAATTTGTACTTTTTGCTCCCCCCCTTTTGTGTGTGAGAGAGAGACCTCTTATGCTTGTTTGTCAAGTTTAATAATTATTTTAATTTTATCTTTGCGTCAGACTTTTTGTGTGTGTGTGCGTTTAAATATTGTAGTTTCAGTGTTTACTACTGAAATATTTATTTGTAGTTTATTTATAAACTTTATTATTTAAATTTTGTAAATAATGGTTAAAATTATAGATTTTGATTGCAGTCAGACAAAGTTTTCTTCTTCAGAAGCCTTCCAAAAATATAGCCTGTTCTTCCCCTAAAGATGAGGGATCTGTGTCTGAATCAAGAGTTTTATTCATAATCTAATCTTTATTAAAAATAAGATTGTTCTTTGTCTAATTTAAAATTTTATATTTGCATGTTTCACTTCCGATTTGGTTATCCTAACATATCTTTGTCATCCCTTACATTTCATGATATTTAAAAGTATAGATTTATTAAGTGAAAAACAGTTCTGTAAATTACGTAACTGTAGCAAGTATTTCTAAAATAGCTCAGCAGTTCTTTTATATTTAGATAATGTAAATTAAAAACATCTTGTCATAACACTCATGTATTTTAAATAACGTAAATTTAGTTTTAATTTAAATAAATAATATTTAGAGGGGAAAAGGTTTTACAGTCGAGCTCTTATAATGAGCATGAAGGGACCACGATATTTGCTCGTTATAAATGACTGCTTGTAAGAAATGGGTTCATTCATAAAAATTTATACATACTTATTATATTATATATACTTTATTTATTTTTTAATTGTACAAAAGTATTTGGTTACTTTGCTTTGAACTATCTTATTTTTTCTTTCTTGTGTTATTGTTCTTCAGAGAAGACTAATGGTCCAAAAATCGTCATTTTCCCCCATGGCTTTGAAAAAATTTCTTAAGTTTTTCTGCACACTCAAAAGCCATTGAGTAAGTTGGGGGCAGATCAGCTGGAAATTCTTCATATTCATCATTATCATCGTTGCTTTCATATTTTTTTTTCATATGCTTTAGCCTGAATTTCGCATCAACAGATACATAATTTTTAAGTTCTTCCCTACTCATTTCCAAATTTTCCAAGATACCTACTTCTTCCTCAGTGATTTGCTTGTATTGAGAAATGTTCAATCCAGCCTTATGGAAGCAATTAGTAATGCATGTTGATGTAACTTTTTCCCATGCATCTTTCATTAAGTGCATCACTTTGAATAAATTTGTATTAGCATTTGATGCTGTTCCTATTTTTACTTCTCTATCGAGACGCATCAAAATCAAGTGCTTATAAAAGTTTGATTTAAAACTACTGATGATCTCTTGGTCCATAGGCTGGATAACACTTGTAGAATTTGATGGTAAAAATTCAATTGTGATCACTCCCCAAGATGAAAAAGGATGCCATCACATGTTCATAGTATTTATGACTCATCCCTAACTTTTGGTTGACTTCGGGATGTTAAAGAAATTTTTCCAAGAAAGGATTAGCTGAGCTGGAGATAGGGAAGTCAGTAGAAATTTTATGAATCACTAAACTGTTGCTCACTATAACTGGGGTTTGTCTGTTAAAAGCAATTTATGCTCCGATAGACTTAATATTGTAACAACCAAGTATTTTCGATTTCCTCATTAAATCAGAGCTCATTATAAGTGAGTTGTACTGCATTAGCATGCAGCAATACAATGCTATGTCCTTTTCATCTCTAATAATTACTTTTGATACCTTTAATAATCATAAATGGTATAAATGTTTATTTTCATCTTATTTTAGTATAATTCCATACGTTAATGGGGAAAATATGGCACATGCAGTTTTATAAAGCTATAAATTATTGCTTTTACTGAGCTATGCTATTATTGAAATTAAGTTGATATTATTTGCAAAATGAAGAGCATCAATTTTAATTGTGAAGAGGGCATTTACCCAGACTGGCTTGTAACAGGAAGATGCTTCAGGGATTTGCTACAAAATGTTGAGTCAGATACCAATATTATGAAATTTAATTAATGTGTATAAGACTCAGATAAAATAAAAATCATATTTATTTCAAATATTTTGCATATATTGTTTTTGTGATTGCATTATTTGTAAATCATTTTGAACTTATGTTATCCAATCCCCTTCTTCCCCCCCCCAAAAAAAACAGTAGTAAAAAATTTGCTAAAATATTTTGCTGTATATACAGAAATATATAGTATTCTGTTTATTATTGTTCTTTTCAACAGCTGCTTATTTTATGGTATTTCTTTCTTGCACAGTTTGTGCATTTTTTGTTGTCTTTAAAGTACTATGCAAATTATTCTATATTTATTGTTTACATACTAAAATTCAGCTCTTTGTGTTTAATAGTTCTAATAATTGCTGAGACAGCTTGCAACATTTATAAATTTATGCTTATATTGCATAAATGTTTCATAATAACTAATTGAATCATACTTTCAGATTAAATTTTGCTACAATGTGAATCTGGTTGAGAGGATGTTGCAGATTATAAGTTTGAGTTGTCAATATAGTAAGATTTTATTTTCTTTAACTTTATTGCAGGAGCTTGGTTTGCATATTTGTTTTAAGTTGTTAGTTTATAATTAAATTTTATTATTGGGTATGTTCTCTCCCTCAAATTCAAAACACAGTTGGTTCCTCTTGTTTTTTGTATATAATGAGTTTAGTTACGTGTAATGTAATCTGAATGAATAAAGTACAAAGCTCAATAAGTTGTGTAAAATTTGCATTTTTATTTCAAAATAATAATAAATAAGTATATACAGTACAAAGTCCAAGATCTGGACATCCAGTATCCGAAATGATCTAAAATCCGAACCTCACTGCCACCGCTGACAAACTTCCTTTTTTTTTTTTTTTTTTTTTTTTTTTGTATGCTTTCTGCATGCACATTTCATTCCCCCCCCCCATAATAAAACATGTGGAGAGTCGCAATGATTGATTTCACTTTGGAACTAAATAAAATACCTCGTTATTGAAGAAACAGTCAGTTTAAATTTGTGTGATCAACAGTTTGTCTCCATAGCTGCATATCTGCTTGATGGATATATATATTTATAGTTTAAGTTTTGATAGTTTTATTATATAAGTTTCAGTCTAGAATCCATTTATTGTATATCCACTGCTAAACAGGTCTTAAAATAAAAAGCTGATATTTATTTAAAGTACTTCAGTTCAAACATATAATTAACCTATGTGCAACGTAACACCAAACAACACATAATGAAATTTAAATGCAATCGTAAATATGAATTTAAATCAGAGTTAAAACAATTTGTTATTTAAAACACTTAACAACCTAAAAGATGATTTTAAACAGTGCAAAATATTTAAAATTACTGTCATATGTATTTTCATAAAGTACTGAATAAAAAATGTGCATTCATCATTCGTAGAGATCATAGGCATTTCTTGGTGTGTTGTCTCAGTCAGGTTTTTAAATCTTTAAGCTATAATGAACATTAAGCTG